TCCTATTTAACAGCTGAGGAAACTGAGGTAGACAAAGATTACAAGATTTGCCTAGGGTCAAACAGCTAATAAGTGTTTGCAGCTCAATTTCAATTCAGGTTTTCATGACCTCCCCAGCCCAATGATCTATCTTCTGCACAACCTAACTGCCTCTAGGCAATTAATGTCTAGAGCTGTTATTACTAATGCTGCTCTAAATTAAGATATACTCAGAACCAAGTGGACTTAACTCACAAATTTATGCTGGAGAAACAAAGATAAAACTGCCTTTCAGAACTAAGGATAGAGGAAAAACTAGAAACTACAGGACTGCTCCTCAGTTGGAGATTAGGTAAACATATTATGGGATATGAATGTGATAAGAATACACTGTATTTAAAGAAATCATGAAAAAGATAGTTTCAGAGAACCTTAGTAAGACTTGTATGTACTGAGACACAGTAATGTGAGTACAATCAGGAAAACAATTTATATGACAACATCGTAAAGGCAAAAAAATGTTTAAGGACTAAAGAGCTCTGATAGATCAATCATGAATCTAGAGTACCAATAATGAAGAATGCTATCTACATCCTAATATAGAGGTGAGAATATCAGCTTGCACACTGAAGCTGTATAATTACTGCACGTGGCCAATATGGACATTTGTTTTGCTTTACTATGAACAATTTCTACAACAGTTTTGTTCTTCTTCTGAACCACCCCCATCCCACCATGGAAGTGGGAGAGGGGAACGAAACTAAATCTTTGTTAACTGAAATATATATATGATTTAATTTAAAAATTTATAAATTCAAAAAGGAACTTTTCTTATGGAGATAGCAGTGAGGTATGCTAGGTTGGCAAATAAAAAAAATGCCAAAGCTCTAAAAAGACATCACTGATCCTAAGTAATAGTTTCTTAACTTTTTTGAGTTAGCAGACCCATTGATCTTATTTATGAAAAAGGGACTTGGGCCCTTTTTTTAAACAATGTCCTTAGAATGACTAAACAAACTTCAATATAAATAAGCTGGAATATCACTGTACCATAAGAAACAACGAATACAAAAAATTCAGAGAAGAATGAGATAATCTACATAAACTGATGTAAAGTGAAAAAAAAATCAGAAAAAACCTTCGATAAAATAAGTATAGCAATGTAAACTTAAAGAAACTAAAAACAAACAAACAAACAAACAAGGTCAGGCAAAAGAACTGAGAAAAATGTATCCACCTCCCATCTTTGCAGAGATGGGGTACTAAAGATGTGGAACACTACCATAAACCACCAGCCATGATTAGTGTGTAGATTGACTTTGTGCAGCTATGTGTTTTCTCCTCCTTTTTAATCTTTGTTATAGTGGATAGCAGATTGGCCAAGGAAAAGAAACTAGTATGTATATATAAATATAGATGATATAAAACAAAAATATAACAATAGTCTTTAAAAAAATACTATACCTAAAAGCTATAGCAATCTGAGCAAAAGAAATCCTTTTAAAGGCAAAAATAGGGAAAATCTTGGAGCCCAGTACTTAAGGTAATAAATGATGCCAACACAGACGAGGGATTTCAAGGGGTAGGTACTCTGTCCCTCTGAGAACTGTAATTAGCCCTTCAAAGATTCAGCAGAGGGATCCAACATTGCATTGTCAAACCAATTTTTGTCATCTACACAGAATCTGATTCAGAAGTCCAAATAAAGTAGTATTTATTTTGAACTGACTCCCTCCCTGGGATAATTTGAGGTTAAATTCCTGGCATTTCTTTTGCTCCTCCTCCATCTGTTGGAATTCTTATAACTTTTGATTCTGGTTTGTGCAGCCAATTGCTAAACCAGGCCGTTGGCGGATCTGACAAGTGAAACCAGTCTAAAGTCGGGAGTTCTTAGAGTGGTGATGGAAGTGGTCATTTTTTCCTGCACTGTTTTATAGTATTCATTGACTGCAAAAAGACCATGTTGAAAAGAAATGTCCAAATTAACAAAGGAGAGCCACTGACTGTAAACATTCTATCAAGCTATGGCAGCATCAATACTTTAAAGTATACTTAAAAATAAGGCTTAGAGCGTACCTCCATTTCAATAAAACATGTTCATTACCTTTAAAAAATGCATGAAAACTAGTACATACAAGGATATAACTGTAAGTTACATTGTTATATTGATTTGGTCTTAAAAAACTATTGACTCTTCAACATGATTCCTGCTGAGATGGTGATAATGTTCATGGCTAAGTTTCTTCATTTAAGGAATTAAGTACCATACAACAGTATCAAATCTAAATTATGCTACACTACACAACTCAAATACCAAACAGACCTTAAATAATTTGGGAAAAGATGATCCAGGGTCGATAAAAAAGCCAAATCCACAACTGAATATGTGTAGCAGTGGAATAAGACAGGATTTCTGATGACGTTTTTCACTGACAATTTTTTAAAAATTCAAAGAAAAGTACTAGATACTAGAATAGGAACAAACCTTTTAAAAGTAAAAAGAACTACAATCCTATTAGAAAAATCTAGGCCAAAACTCTGCTTAAAATAAAAAGATATGATTTTATAATCCAGAAACAGTTACATGATCAGACATCATTAAAAATATATATAGTTATTAAGGACAAGGAGGCAAAGGATATGCCCCTCCATCCTAAATACGTAAATGTATAATGTGATTAGTGGACCTAAATGTCCAATCACATGTTTTTTAAAGGTTATTCTTCGAAGCTGAAATAATACTAGTATCTGGCAGTGAAGTGGTGCCATGGATAGAACTCTGGGCCTGAGTTCAAATCCAGTCTCAGACATTTCTTAGCTATGTGACCCTGGACAAGTCACTTAACCTCCATTTGCCTCAGTTTCCTCATCTGTAAAATGGGGGGTGAAAATAGCACCTTTCTCCAGGGTCATTATGAAATGGATCAAATTAGATAATAATTGTAAAGTATTTAGCCCAGTGCCTGGTGCATAGTCAGTGCTATGTAAATGTTGCCTATTGTTATTATTATCTAATTAGAATGGCTACTGGATTCACTAGATTAGAACCAATCCACACCAATGATCTAGCTCAATATCACTGATTTGTTGGATACTCATTTGAGATTTGTGCAGAGTTGTCTTTAACACCATTACTTATGATGCTGATCTGAACTGAATATCTCTCTAACAGTCAAATGTGCCCTCTGGGTATGTTACATTTATCTGGTTCCCTACAGATTTCTCTTTCTTGAGCTAACCAGACCTCAATTTTAACAAAGGTAACCATCAGAAAACACTGACCAAGTTGGAATCCAAATTTAGAAACAAACATAGATGTCATTATTTAAATGAGGTAAACATATAATGCTATACTTGGTTCCAAATGAGCAGTTTTAGAAGCTAAAGAGAAGTAAAGGAGTTTTTTAAGCTGAAAAGAAGTTCAACTGATGGCATAATGCTTGACAGAAAAATTTCACACAAAGGTAGTAGGCCAGCACTGCCAAGAGATGCACAGAGCTGGTCTCTATAGGAATGACACTTTAAATGAGATTTCAGCCAAGAACCAAGGTTTATGCCATCCCATTTAGGGCATATTCTTGCAATCTAGCTTTCATTCTAGACTCTCAAAAGAAAATATCAGCTCAAAGATCTCCAAGGCTTTTCTGAATCTAATGGTCATTTCTTTTCTCATCTTCCTCAAGTTTTCCCACTGGACTTAAAAACAGCTGCAAACCTTAATTTCACCAAGTACTCTCCTTTCAGTATTAAAATAAGGCAACACTCTGATAAATAGTGTCTCAAGCCCTTCCACAATACTCCTAAATGCTTGCTTTTATACAGATTCCTTTGGGAATTAAATCCTAGTTATGAAAGCAGTCTTGCCATTTTATCTACCATCCTTGAGGCTGTCTGATAAATCTACCTATCCATTTCTGTCCTCACTTCCACACTACTGTTTGCCTTGCCCAAATGATGACAAGACCTTCTACATTAAAATTTGCAGAGCCAAGAAGAAAGCACTTAATTATTCCTCCAGAACCCACTGAATCAAATACAAACACACCCTTATGGCTATCAGCAAGACTTTGCATTACACACATCCCATTAGTCACTAAATAATGACAATTTTGTCTTTACCTATATCTGTCCCATTATCCTTGAAACTGTGCTGCTTGTCTCATCTACTTCCTAATCATCTGAGACCTGATCAACATGGTACAGAGAAAAGAACACAGATTCAGGAGTCAGAGACCTTGTTTTCAAATGTCAACTCTGGTATTCCTTGTGTGACTCTGGGTAAATCACTCCATCTCTCAAGGCTTCAGTTTCCTCATGTCTCCAATGCCCCACAAAGTTCTCAAAATTATAATCTGGCCTCACTGCCATCAATGTAATTATATTGTTGTCCTTTCCATGACAACATTGGTTCTCTTCTTTCCAAGATTTGGACTTCTAATTCAGTGGTCATGCACATATACAATTCATCCTAGAGACCTGCCTCATTAGAGAATATAAGCTCCTCAGGCCAGAAGTTGTTTCGTTTTACCTTTTAATGCCAAGTGCCTACCTATATCACATGTAGGCACTTCATAATGCTTCTTGACAGATTACTTACTTCTCATACTAGTAACACCATGGAAACCTTCACTATTCCAACTAAGCTACTATTTCTCTTATTCTAGTCAAATTAAACTGTCCCAGTTCTCTACATTCACTACGTAGCTGATCTTGAGCTCTTCCACACAATCCTTCATCACAATACAACCAGTCTTTATCTAGTCTTGCTCACAATCTCTAATGAGCATCTCAAAGCTCACCTTCTCTATAGAATCTTTCCAAGAATGCAAAAGAACAATGCAGCGCTTTTTGCGGAGTAAATGACATATATTTTGCAAGCAAGTTGTGAATCCAGTTTTAAGCACATAACTATGATGGTGACAAGAACAAATGCCAAGTACTGAGAAGTAAAAGCTTTCCACATTTTAATTGCTATTTTACACTATGACTGAGCTTAAATGCCTAACAAAGTGTTTATTTACCTCAAACACTCTCAGTTGTGGAATAATTTCTTCCAGCAGATGAATATCTTTGGAGATCCTGGCCTTTAGCCTGTTCCACTTTCCTTGAACATTCTCGAACTCTTGCTGGTATTTGTTTTTTATATCATGGGGTGAACACTGCTCCAAAGTCTTTGTTTCTTCTGCTAGTTTATCCAGTGAAGGTTTCTGATCCTCAAGTATTTCTTCAAGAGCCTAAAAAGAGAATTAAAAGATTCTGATTATTTGTAGCACTCTGTTTCTATACATGTATTGATATGTAACAAAAATGTAAGGTTTCTCTAGATATTTGGTCAAAAAATAAAACTGAAAAATGGTACACTAATGAAAAAAAAAAGTAGCAAAACAAAATTCTGTGCCCAAAGTGTAGTGCTAGATGCTAAGTATCCAAAGACAAAAATAATAACAGTCATTGAAGGGACATGGGTAAGGAATTTTAAAAGGGAAAGAGAACCAACAGGCATAAGAAGAGACATCAAAGCTGGACCTTGAAGAAGACTATTGATCATAAGATAATAAATTAAAGTGATGAGGGAGAGTCACTGGTAAAGCCTTCAACTGGAAATGGCATGCAGTAGAGGGCTTGAAATGCCAAGCTAAGCTTTTATTTTTTCTAAAAGGCAACAGGGAACCACTGAATATTTTTTACAAAGAAGAGTGACATGGTCAAACTTGTGTTTTAGGAATGTCAATTTGGTGGCAATATGAAAAAAAGAGTAGACAGGTGAAGAGTTAGAAGGAGAGAGACTAAAAAGGAAGAAACTAAAATTTTCCAGGAAAGCAGGGTAGAGGGTCTGAACCAGAGTAGTGGCTCTGAGAGTTGAGAGAAATGCAGGAATGTTGGGGAGGGTAAATGGATAAGTTTTGATAAAAGAACAGATTGGCAAAGCGAGAGAGAAAGAGGATTCAGAGAGAATTCTTTTATTATAAACGAGGGCAATATTAAGGATTGTGAAATCCTCAGCATGGTCTAACACAGGAGGCCACATGTGGCCTCAAGGCCACAGATTCCCCACTCCTAGTCTAGTAGAAAAGATGACTCATTATGTTTCAAGCAGTAGGCATCATGGTATTAGATTTCAGGAGAGAAATTAGGGTGGGCTAAATGGATTTGGGAATTATCTGCATGGAGATGATAATTGAATTTGTGGAAGCTAATAAAAATCACTATGCAGAAGAGGGGGAGAGGAGGGGAAAGGCAGAACCTTGGGGAATAGCCACATTTAACAGGTAGGAGGGAGATAATTATCCAAAAAAGGGCACTATGAAGGAGTACTTCATACTGGTAGAAGCCAATGCAGCAGTGTGCAAGAGAAAGAGGGCCCTGTTTTGAATCAAAAGCTCCGGATTCAAATCCCAGTTCTTCCAATTAATTATCCATATGACTCTAAACAAGTTATTTAACCTCTTTACCTCAGTTTATTCATTTGTAATACAAAAGGTTGGGCTAGATGACTTCTGGGGTTCCTTTCAGTTCTAAGTCACTATCCTAGGGACATCATGGAGGAAAATATATCTTGGGAGAAGGGAATGGTCACCAGGAAGACAATTAAACTTAGAATAAAGAAAAAGTCCCTGAAGTGAGAAGTTTTAAGATCACTGGCAATCTTACAGAGGTTAATTTCAATTGCGTGATGTGGCTGGAATTAAAAATGGAATAAAAAATGAGTGGGATGTGAGGAGTATCCCAAGAGTCTTAATGTACTTTTAAGCTTCATAAACTTGAGAAGTATAAATACTGCAAACTGAGTTTTTAAAAAACTAAATGAAAGAATATTTAAGTTTTTAAAATGTTGGTATTTTAAATTAAAATACAATATAACCACTGTCTTATACCATGTTGTTGTTGTTGTTCAGTCATGTCTGATTCATTATAACTCCATGGACTAAATGTCCATGGTGTTTTCTTGGCAAAGATACTGGAGTGGTTTGCCATTTTTTTCCTCCAGTTTTATGCAGGCAAAGGTTAAGTAACTTGCCTGGGGTCACAGATAGTAAGTTTCTGAGGTAAAATTTGAACTCTGGTCTATCCACTGCATCACCTAGCTGCCTCATTGTGCTACGTGTGTGTGTGTGTGTGTGTGTGTTTGTGTATGTGCACGCGAATGCGTGCACATACATGTATTACAATAGTAGATTTTTAAATTTTGTAAGAAATGTGATTAACTGCTGTTCAGTAATTGAAAGGATTACATTTGTAATTGATTGTAGCCCTAAAATAATACAAAGAACAAGCTTCGAATGCATACATAACAGTTTTGAAATGTCTTAACAAGAAAAAACCTAATGGAGATAGATGAGTTGACCAAGGTGGTCAAGCAAGAGGACCTCCTCTCTTGAACCACCAGTCCAAGAAAGCATCACTCAGAAAATTAAATTAAAATGTAAAAATTATTATTCGAAATTCACAAAGCAAGACAAGTGTGAAAGAAATCATATCATTAAACTTCCCAATCTTTTCTCTAAGTATGTATAAAATTTATACTTCTGAAATTATTGAAGCTTAAGCTGCACGAAGACTTCAGGGATATTCATATAAAGGTTAATATTAACCTAGCAATTGAAGTAAGGTCTGCAAAACACCCAACACCTGTTGTTGCATCTGATCCTTGACTCAGACTTTCAAGACCTAACACAGTCTTACCATTTTCTCCTGTAGGGCCTTCTCAACTTTTGAAAGGTCACTCAGAGTATTCAGAGAAATCTGAGCCTTACTTTCTGATTCATCTAACACATTCTTCACTGTCTTCAATGTCTGTAAGTAGTCATCTCCAGGTTGACTCTTCAGATCTGTGTATTTTAGAAAAAATTAATTTAAGCAAATATTAGAAAGTCAGTTTTCTTTCACATATGTCAATCATTTTGTGTTGACTAGGCAGATATTCACTATATGTGTGAAATGTTCTAATTAAAACTAGGACAGTGTGTAAATTAAAAATATGCATAATGCTTTAAGCCTGGCATCACAATTTCAGTACTATTATGGTTGAGGCACCCAATATTAATTCACCTTTCCTTTCTGCATTCATTTTGATAAAAGATCTCAATAATGATAAATTTGTACTAATTTCTTTTCTTTTAGCCTGAGACTTTCCTTTCTTCTTCCCTCCCTTTCATAATAAAGCTACAACCTTTAAAGCACAAAAAAAAGTATAAATATCTACCAAAATTGTCATTGATCTCAGTCACGTGGACAAACTGTCACCTACAAAGTAGCATGAACCATTCTCAAAGTCCTTACTCCTGGTTACTATCAGTCAATTCTCAGATGTATGTACAATGATGTATAATGATATCTATCTAATATTAGCCTCAAAAATGTCTGAGGCATGCACTTCATTATGCTATTTTAAAAAAAAAATGAACCAACAATACTTTAAGTTCAAATGAACTTCCTTTTAAAGCATAAGAAGCAGCAGCCAATAGGAAGTACAGGTTAAGAAATTAAATACTGAATCTTGCCCACTGGCCTAAAGTCTACTTTGCAAGAGTGAGCAGAGGAAAAAGAGCTGTCTGCAAATCCCATGCTTGCCCGCTGAAGTCCACTTAACAAAGAAACCTGGCCTACAGCTACAAAACTTTGTCCCCAAGAGAGGAAATGTAATCTGTTTGGCAGACACACATTGAATCCTTCATTTCATCACAGGACCCATCATCACCACAAGCAAAAGGCATTATCAAACTAGCATCATGTTGCCAACACACAGGCCAAAGTAAGGCCTGGAAGAGCTGGAAGAGCCTATGGAACGCCTATATGATTGTATCGAAAACAACGAGGGAGAAGTACATCATTCCTTGAGGATATTTTTCTACAACTTGTGTACTTCAATGGGTTTTTGACCTCATCAACATAAGTATTCCTTCCATCTGAGCAAAATTAATCCCCTAAAAGCCAACATTAGTGATTGGGGGGGGGGGGGGCAGGAGAAAGGGGGAAATGCAAGGAAGCCTTAAAGAAACATTCCTGGATATTCTTAGTATACCTCAAATATAAATACATTCAGTTTTTCTCAAGGAAAACAAAATTCAAATCAAACTCAACAAAAGGGAGACTAACACAGCAAACTTGACCACAATAGCTGGAGGCAACAGAAAAGTAGCACGCCATTAGCAAACTTTGCATAGCAAACCGCTATATGGGTTTTTGACTTTGAGAATGGTTTTTTGACTTTCCTTCCTTTAATACACACACACACACACACACACACACACACGCACACACATATCCATGACCAGCTTCAGTCTCCTCTTGTTGGAGGACAAAACCACATGGAGAAATGGCGAATACCCTTCTGTAGGACGGCAACTATGAGAGAAGGGTGCTCACTCTAATGCCAGTTAGATGCCCCTAAATTTACCATGGAGTGAAAAGAGCTATCCTGGGTACGAGACCTCCATGGAGGCTCCCCAAAGTTAAAGGCATCATTATTGCACCAGTGGCCTCTCCAGTGTCAGATCAACCAGGACCCAATTCCAGGCCTCCAGGCACCCAATAAATTAATAATAATAAACAATAACAACCGTTTATGTAGAACCTACTATGTGCCAGGCACTGCTAAGTGTTTTATAAATATTATCTCATTTTTTCCCCACAACAACCTTGAGAGGTAAGAGCTATTATTATCTCCGTTTTACAGAGGTTAAGTGACTAGCCCAAGATCACATACCTACTGGGTGTCTGAGGCCATATTTGACCTCGGATCTTCCTAACTCCGGGTTCTGTGCTCCATCCACTGCACCATTCACCTGCCCCAATCCCCCTTAAGTCTAGTACTTTCCTACTGAAGAAAATGCTTGGAAAGGGCAGAAAATCTAGCCAGCCAAAACTCTGCTTGAACCTGCCATCAGAGGTAAGAATAATAGTCTTATGGCTTTTCCTCACCCCTGGTCCTAGATAGCTAGTCATTTCCAGGGAAGATAAAATATCTGAGGGGCTGTTCATGTTCCATATTTTCCCCTTAAAATTTGGGAATGAGTGTGTGAAAAGAGTACTGGATTTGAAGTCTGAAGACCATGGTTCATATCTCAGCTCTAACTTTTATTATCTGTATGTGTTCTCACTTTCCTTAACCCTCAGGTGTTGGGCTACATGATCTTGCAGAATCCTTCCATTTATACGATAGTTATTTGTTATTTGTTATTTTATACGTTGTTTTATTATGTGTTTGATATTTCTGAGTTTAAAAATTATAATAAACTCTTTGGGTATATCTGAATAAAATACAAACCAAGAATAAGACTCCCTACTCCCTTCCATCTTGGGGTGAGGGGGGGGTAGAAAAAAAAGGGCAACACAAAGTTTGGAAATGGCTATCTCAAAATGTGGGATTTCTTTGTAAAAATGTATTTCATCTTGAAGGTAACATCTTTGTCCTGACACTGATTATATCACCTTTAAAATATCTGGGTTTGTCCTAATTATTTCTTAACCTATTGTCCTATGTTAAACATGGCCGATTGATTCTGTGCCTAGATTCTCTAGGTTTCGCTTTGGGTTTGGCCTTAAAAAGCCAGACTAGATGGTTCTAGAGCTCTAAATCCCTAATAATTAGAGAAATGCAAATTAAAACAACTCTGAGGTGCCATCTCATACCTATCAGATTGGCTAACATGACAGAAAAGGAAAATGACATATGTTAGAGGGGATGTGGAAAAATAGGTACACTAATATTTGGATGGTGGAATTGTGAACCAGTCCAAACATTCTCAAGAACAATTTGGAACTATGCCCAAAGAGCTAAAATATTGTGCATAGCCTTTGATCCAAGCAACAGCACTACCAGTTCTGCATCTTAATGAGATAAGAGAAAAACAGGAAAAGAAATACATGTACAAAATTATCTATAATAGCTTTTTGTGTGGTGGCAAAGAATCGGAAAATGAGGAGATGCCCATCAACTGGGAAAGAGCTGAACAAGTTGTGGCTTATGATTGTGATGGAATACTGTTATGCTATGAAAACAAGCAGGATGGCTTCAGAAAAACCTGGAAAGACTTGTATGAACTGATGCAAAGTAAAGTTAACAGAAATAGAAGAACATTGTACAGGAATATTGTAACAGTAATTGACTGTGAATGATTTCACTACTCTGATCAATACAACAATCCATGCCAACATCCAATACAATAATCCAAGAGACAAAGGATTCTTGAAGAAAAATGCTATACACCTTCAGAGAGACCTGATGAACTCTGAGTGAAGATTAAAGGATATTTCTTTCACTTTATTTTTCTTGCTTTTTTTGAAATATAATACAGAAATATGTTTTGCATGAATATATAGACATGTATGTATATATATGTATATAAAATAAAATGTGAATATTATATTTCTTGTCTTCTCAATGGTTAAAAGAAGGACAGGAAGGAGGAAAAGAATTCAGAACTGAAAATATTTTTTAATTAAATTAAAGGAATGAAAGAGAGACAGAACTAGAGCAAAATGAGGAGACAGATAGGCTTTCAGTGCTGAAGCAATTTCAACACCAAATGAAGTATAGAGAGAATATATAGGTTCTTGAGGGCAATGGGTCTTGTCAGACTAGTCATCTAAGCCTCCAGGTTTCCCTGGCTTCCGTCAAGTCCCAGCTAAAATTCCATCTTCTAAAACAAACCTCTCCCAATACTCAATTCTAGCACCTTGCTTCTGTTGATTATCTCCAATTTATCCAGTATGTAACTTGTTTATACATAGCATGTAACATATCTCAGTCATTAGAATGAGAGCTCCTTAATAGCAAGGACTGATACTTGTTTACCTTTGTACCTCCAGCTCATTAGCACACAGTAGGTGCTTAATAAGTGTTTGCTGACTGAGGAAAGAAAAAACATCTTTACTATTTAGGGGCTTAGATACAAGCCTTTGCATTTTCTTCTGGAACAAACAAAACTTTGCCTATTTTCAGTGCTGTATTTGCTATGTGACATGCCTGCACGAGAGGTGATGGCTCTTTAACTTTTTTTTTTTAAGGGCAATTGGAGTGAAGTGACTTGTCCAGGGTCACACTGCTAGTAAGTGTCAAGTGTTTGATCTGAGGCTGGATTTGAACTCAGGTCCTCCTGACTTCAGGGCCAGTGCTCTATCCACTGCACCACCTTGCTGCCCTGCTCTTTAACTTTTTAAGAGGAGAATCAAATAGGATTTCGTCCCAGGGGAAACCTCAGGTTTGCCTATCAATCAAACAATAGAACAAGTAAGATGCCCCCACGACCAAACCTAATAAGCATAAACCCAGAGTTTAGATTCTGATTGTTGACTGAAAATTTTAAAGTTTTAAGAAACTAAAAGAGGACCGATGCTGATACACAAACATATCACTAGTAAAAAACACTCCATCATTACCAAAAAGAGTCAGGTAGATGATAACAAATGATCAAAATTCCCTAGTAATTATTTCACAGTAATGTAATCAAATCCAAGATTCTTTGCCAACAAAGATAAAAGATTTCTTAAGTAACTCCTTAAAAACCACCTATTACCATGATTTTATTTTCACTTAGAATTATCTGAATTACCCTAATTACTAAGTCAGGCATTAAGATCAACAGCAATGATTAGAGCAAAGAAACATTCTGAAGGGGTTGGGGAAGGGGAAGATTTCCAGGAAATATACTGTCTTATACATGGAAGGAGGCCCTAAAGTATGATTAATAATAAGAACAAGGCCAAAGACTGCTAAACCATGAAAGCAAACTGTAGATAAAAAATGAAAAAGGACAGAATGTGGAATGATTTACCTTTCTCCAACTGCTGCTGACATTCCTCCAAATTCTGTTGCACAGATCTGTAGTGATCTATAAAGCTCTCCAGACTCTTCTGAATGAAACTTGGAGCAGAGGGCTGAGACATAAGATCCATACAGCTGGAACTCATCATTTCAATTTGAGGGCCAAGACTAAGCAGATGTGTTAGTTCCCACTATGGAATGGAAACATACACATATAATGGGAAAAGAGGCAAAAGAATCTACACAAAGAAACATGACTTGCACCAATATTAACTGTAAAAGTAAAAGCTCAGTGAAACTGGGTACTGACTTCAGAATGCATCTATGAGGCAAGGAGGTTATCTACCTACCTGGCACGAATCCTTCAGACCTGGACCAAACTGCTGAGTAGTATCTGAAAAGGGAGAGTTTTTCACCCATTCTTCCTTTTCCTTGACAGCCTTTTCAAGCTCATCCAAATCTTTAAAGAATGCATTTATATCATCCTGAAGCTGAATTTTTCTTGAAACATCTTCCAAATTCCATGCCAAACCTTTCCATTCTGATAGGACCCTCTCCAAGACTTTTTTTACATCATCTGCAGAAAGTCCTTCTAGAACAATTCAGAAAACAAGCAAGCATAGTCTTAATTCATCACCAAATTTGTCCTAAAATATTTTAACAAACTCTGACAAAATGAAAACTGGAGTGAAAAGTTGATCTTAACACCAAGGGTGTAAATGGATAGGTTTCTGGTTTTGTTTTTTTTTTTAAAAAAAAAAACACTATAAGTTAGAATGTTTAGAGAACATTTATATTTCAAGAAAAAAAACTCATGTCATAAAAAGACAAAATTATACAATGTTCTTGCTATCCACTGAATTGGGTGCTAAAAGCTTCAAGGTTCCACAAATATATATAAATTAGATTCAGGAGAAACATGACCAAATATTAATATAATATACTATTGAATTTTAAGTTATCAATACAATTATCTCCCCCTTCACTTTCTTCCTCTATCACAAAGTAATTAAATTAATACCGCTATTCCTGAAAATGAATGTCAATGAGTTCTCCTGTGATGCTAAACACCATCCCTGTGACTTTCCCAATCAAAACAAAACAAAACAAAACAACAAACCCCCCCCCCAAAAAAAAACACCTCTCCTTGGCTACCACATCCTTAAATGACTTTTCTTTCCCTATTAGTCTGTAAGCTCCTTGTTGGCAAGGAAGTCTGCTGCTTTTGGTATTTGTATCCTCAGTGCTTAGCATCCTGTCGGTAAGAATTCAGTAAATTTCTTGTCACTCATTCATTCATCGTATGATCAAGGAATCTCCAAGTTACAAGGGACCACAGAGGTCATCCAGTCAAGGCCATTTATTGTACAGAGAGATGGTTTTGTGCAGTAGGAAGAGGAGGAGGAGGAGCAGTAGTAATAGCAGTGGTTAGCATTCATAAAGCGTTTATTATGTGCCAGACACTGTGCTAAGCACTTCAATCATATCTCATTTAATGCAGCCAACAACCCTTGGAGGTAAGAACTATTATTCTCCCATTTTACAGATGAGGAAATTAAGACAGAGGTTAAGTGACTTGCCCAGGGTGACACAACTAACAAGCTAGAAAGTGTCAGAGGCTATATTTGAACTCAGGTCTTCCTGAGTGAGGCCCAGTGTTCCATCTACTGTGTCACCTAGTTGTCCTCAAGGTGACAGAGCTTATCAGTAATAGCAAATAAAGTTTATAAAACATTTTGGTTATCTCATCTAAATTTGCTCCTTACATTAGGCTAGAGAGGTAAGTGTTCTTTCTAGCTTCATTTTACAAACTAATGCTCAGAGATAACAAAGCGACATGCCTAGGACCACATACAAAGGAAGTGTCATAGGAGAGGTCTGAAACTGGGTCAGCTTGACTCCAAGTACAGCAGTCTACCCATTTTATGCTGACTCTCTAGTAGCTAAGCAAGGATTGACACTCTGGTCTCCTAACTGCAAGTGCAACTGGATTTCTTAATTTTACTGCCTTCCCTCTATTAATTATTTCCTATCTATCTTGTATATAACTTAGTATCCCCGATGCTTAGCACAGCATCTGGCACATAATAGGTGCTTAATAAAGATTTGTTGATTGAGTGATCAGCATAATCATCGGTATCATTTAAGATTGCCCATTAAGAAAAGATATACCAAATTTATAGGCTAACTGGAAATACTACTTCACATATTATGTATCTCAAAAAGAAAAATCAATCCACTGAACATGAAAATCTTTTTCATTATGGCTTTGAAGGCTGAGATCATTTTGAAAATTATTGCAAAAAGTATATATGCTGAATTAGAAAGAAATCACTGTGCTTTAAGGACATAAAGCATTTTCAGAGGAGTGGTATGAAGTGGGTGGATGAACAATTCTGCATTGTACACTCATGAATAAATACCAGGGAGGAAAATCAGAGTTGTTTCAAAAAGAAGAAAAAAAGTAACATGGCCAACAAAAAGTTACTGACACCATTTAGAATGTGCATTTTCCTTTCTATATAACTGTGCCCACTGAATAACTGAAATAACATAAATATAAAGGCATGTAATTTGAAGATACTGTGGATTTAACACGTCATATCAGTTTATGTATTGTGCCCCACAAGTACATATGTATGTGTATATTATATACATATGTATGTACATTATATGTGTGTGTGCATGTATGTGTATATATACACATACATACATGCATTCACACATATATACATGACTCAGGAAAAACATGATCTTACATTTCAAGTAGCTACTATTAAAGTTCACTTATCCGTAATAAATAAGATGATCAAAAAAAGAAAAGATTTACAAAATCAAATAACCCACAGACTTTGTGAATAAATTTCACCAAACTTCCACATCCAATATTTTATCAGATCAGTAAGAAATGTGAAAAAAAACATTGTTGGCAGTTTCAGCTCCATTTATGTTATGGATAAAGATAACATCAGTTACACACTTATAGGCATATCACTTCTATTTCAGGCACACTCACAAATATAAACTGAACCAATAACATTTGTAATCTCATTGATGTGAATATTCCATTCAACAATGCAAATCAACAATGAAAATTTGCCAGCAATGCAACCCACCTCAACTAGGGGCAGCTAGGTAGGACAGTGGATAGAGCGTTGGCCCTGCAATCAGGAACACTGAGTACAAATCTGGCCCTAGACACATTTAATATGTGACACTGGGCAAGTTACTTACTCTGTTTGCCTAGATTTCCTCAACTGTAAAACCCTCCAGAGTTAGTGGTGAAGACCAAATGAGGTAATAATTGTAAAATGCTTAGTACAATGCTGCTTGTTGTTGTTTAGTTCCATTCAACTCTCCATGACCTGATTTAGGGTTTTCTTGGCAAAGATACCGGAGTGGTTTGCCATTTCCTTCTCCAACTCACTTGACAGATGCAGAAATGGAGGCAAACAGGGTTAAGTGACTTGCTCAGGGTCACACAGCTAGTAAGTGGCTGTGGCCAATTTTGAACCCAGGACTTCCTGACTCCAGGCCCAGCCCTCTATCCTATGAGTCATCTAGATGCCAGGAAAAGTTAGAAAGTCTTCCAGTTGGAGGTGCCACATGAATACCATGCTCACTTTATTACACTAAGATAAATCTTCCTGATTCCAGGGGCTGTGTCCGCTGTGCATCTACCTGGCATATCGTTAACACTATATAAACGTTAGTTATCGTGTTTGTCTTCTCATAGGTGATTTACCATGTCTAAAATGCGTCCACTCCACACACCTCACCTCTATATTATAGAATCACTAAGTTCCGAGCCCAGCTCAGATAAAACCTTTTATCCAACAACTTTCCTGATCACCTCCAGTTGTAAATGCTTTCTCCCCCATGAGGTCACTTTTTATTACTTTTTATCAATTTTGTACTAATTAATCTCTGTGCATGTTACATCCCCTAGGAGAAAGTAAGTTCTCTGAAGGTAAGAGGTTGTTTGGTTTTGGATTTTGTATCCTCTACAACCCAGTACTTTGTCTTTTACCCATACATGACCGTTACCTGTTTGCTGAAATGAATTGAAGATTTAGCAAAAAGGACTCTGTAAAGTGGCTAAGCTCGCATTTTCTCCAAAGTACTCATAAATTCTAAGGGGGCAAGATAACCTTCATTTTAGAAAGTTTTACTATTTTGATAGCCTTATCTCCCCTCATTCACCCTTTCCATACACACCAACATATAATTTAATGTCCTTCAAAGGAGGACTAAGAATTGAGAAACAAAATTATACATGGCTCTATGTTGTTAGTTCAGGAGAGTTTTAATTATTTTTTCACTTCAACATTATATTCTCAGAAGTCATGAGTTCCATATAAGAATTTTCTTTGTTCCACATAATAATTCACATTGTGAAGGTTATCAGTAAAAACTAAAATCATTAATTGTACAAAAATGAAATAATTAATTATTCAAATAATTAATTACCTGTATTATAGGATATGCCTATATAAAACACAAACACCGCAATACAGAATGACCTTTTCATTGATATGATGTCCTTATGAGATATATAGAAAATATTTCTTAAAATACAGTACTATCAAATTTCATAGCATAATAAAAATATTCCCAAAGAGGCTATATAAAACTCATGACATTTGCCAGATATGATGAGGTTCAATTTTTAAAGCAAAATTGTGCGGCTGTTTAACTTCCATTCACAGGAGACATATCCATGATTTGGTAATAGCTAGAGGTCTCTTGGAGGGGAAAAAAAATGCCCTCATCAACCAAACCAACCAGTTTTCTCCAATACTTCTATATAAACAAAGAAGCAGGAGGCCACTAAGTCCTTAATGACTCAAATACATTAGGCAGAAAATTCCTCCCAGTCTTAGATATGGTAACATTTAAGATGGAACCAGTTGAAGAAGAACACTAGATCATTTGAACATGTTTTATTAAGAATTTCATATGCTTTTTCAACTGATTTTCATCATTCTCATCTGCATCATTAGCTAACTTGACTTTGACCAAACCGAAGTTAAGCTCTATCTCCAACTACATTAATTACCAATGTTTCAGAAGTACATATTTATACAAAAACCATTCACCATAATGACAGCTTTATTTAGGTTCTATTTTTTAGCTTTTCACCAGAATAAGTAATATCCCCACTGATGCTGAGAATTAGGACGAAAAGATCATAGATGTAAAGCTGGAAGGGAGCTTAGAATTCAACTAATCCAGGAGTTCTTAATCTGGGGTCCATGAACTTTTAAAAAAATATAATGTGATAACGGTTTCAACATAATTGATTTCCTTTGCAATCCTATGTATTATATTTTATTCATTTAAAGACATTTTAAGAATGACTTCACCAGACTGCCAAAGCAACCAACGCCAGTGGTTTCAAACTCAATTAGGAACAAAAGCCATTATACTATATAGTTCATAAAGATATCTACAGGCCACATACTGATTTAAGAAACCACATATTAACATTATCTATGTTCCAGTGTACTTTTATTTTGTTAAATATTTCCCAATTACATTTTAATCTGGTTCAGTTCATCAAGAGTGTTGTGAGCCAAATGAGTCAAACCACATGTTTAATATGTCTCTTTCTAAACCAATCCTCCCCATTCTACACTTGAGGAAAGTGAAGCACATAGAGGTAAAGTGACTTTTTTTAACGTCACATGATTAGTAAGTAATTTGCAATCTGGGATGCTAACGCAGATTCTCTAATTCCATCCCCAGCACCCTTTCCAGATCACTAGGTTGCAGTGCATCAAAATAACAATAGCGAGGACACTGTGGAGAAAGAAGTTCACAGTAAAAGTTTCTTTGATTCCCAAAACTTAAAAGCAGTAAAAGTTAAGGAGTAAAGGAAAGCAGGGGGCCATCAAGACATCACCATTCTACAATATGTTGTTTAAAAACCTGGAAAGACTTACATGAACTGATGCAGAGTGAAATGAGCAAAACCAGAAGAACATTGTACGCAGTAACAGTCACACCGTGTGATGACTGACTTTGATAGACTTAGCTTTTCTCATCAATGCAAGGATCTAAGACAACTCCAAAAAACTCATGATGGAAAATGCTATCCACATTCAGAAAAAGAACTATGGAGTCTGCAGATCAAAGCATATTATTAGTTTTTTCTTTTATTTTGTTTTGTTTCTTCTTTCTCGTAGTTCCTCCTATTGGTTCTAACTCTTCTTTACAACATGACCAATGTGAAAATATTTTTAATAGGTAGGTATATGTAGAGCCTATATCACACTGCATGCCATCTTGGGGAGGGAGGAAGGAAGGGAGGGGGAGAAAACTTAAAACTCAAAAGCTTATGGAAATGAATATTTAAAACTAAAAATAAATAAACTAATTTTTTAAAAAGAATGAATTTCTGAAGACACAAAAGAAGATAATTCTAATACGGAAAAAATATCAGTGTTATCTGAAAAGTCCAAAGTGGATGCATGGAAAACCCATGGATCAACTTAGATTTTTAAAAGCACATGGACAGAAGATGAAAACAAAGGAACGTGACAGAGGATTGATATTAAAGTATGTCTTAGTTTATAAGAATAGTGTCAAGAGTGTTAAAACCCAGAATGAGCTATTACTGTTAAGAATGACTCAGAACAGCCAAAGGGTGGGTTGGATTTTTGTATTGTTTTTATTGTATTGGGGTAAGAGAAGGAAAAGAGAAGGGATAGTACTACTTCATAAGGCAGGTAAGACAATAAAAATTGACAAGAGAAAAAAGTCAGAGTAATTTAATTCATAGTTTCCTTCTGTTTTCTCTATGAAGGAGAATAAACGTTGCACTAGGAGAAAAAAGAACAAAGCTGACTAGTAAGTAGCTGATACTTAAAATCAGTAAAAATATAGTAAGAGAACACTAAGTGTTCCAGTATTCCAGTGTAAGAACACTAATTCTGGAGGTGAAATTCTCCAATTGTAACATGCAATAAAAAAAAAAGGGAGAAGGAAGGGAGAGGACCAGAGAGGAAAAAAAAAGATTCAAAGTATGGTCTTATATGTAGGTGGTCTATAAACAAGTGGGTTGTTTTGCTAGGGGTTAAGAGGTTTTCTAGACTGTTGGAATACTACTGAACTGATATCATTGCCTTGATGAGTTTTTTTTGTGTGGTCCTTGCCATGTTACTGCCTATTGATACTGTATCTACTTGTAGGATTTTTTTTTTAATTCAGTTACTTTTAACAATGAAGAAAGAAAGAGAAAGAGCTACCTCCTAGAATTTATGTACCAGACAGAAAATTTCCTAGCTATGATAGCCCTGTCATAAACAGGCAGGTGATGTTTTCAATATTTTCCCAACCTCTCCCTTAATAGCACTTCTGGTACACCAGTGGTTTTTACTGATCAATTAATAGGTAAAGAGGCTATGCTGCAAGACATATCTACAGACATCTTTTCTCCTCTAACTGCTGATTGCCACTTAATGGCATTCTGGTAGCTATAGATTTGTAAATATTTGGAATTGGGTTTTTAAGGTCCCTTTGGTAGAAAAAGAGAGTTTTCTGGAAATTCCATAATGACCAGCTTCTCTGGGGAAAACTGGTGGGATGGGGAGGGGCTGTTGTTTACTTTTTAATTCAAAGACTTGAACCACATTCCCTCTGAATGAATTTTGTTTGTTTTCTTCCTTTTCTGAAAATTCCTTCCCCCAGTAATATGCTTATTATAGGCATCTGAATTTTTATAATATAGTTGCTATATATATATATACACGTATACACATATATACATATATACACGTATGTGTATATATATTATATATATGTATGTATGTATAATAGTATAGATATAAAAAAATAATCATTACAACTTGAAAAATGCAGATGCCTAAAGAATAGTAGGTATATTGTACTTTAATGCTTTGTGGCAGGTTACTAGAATTTGTACTATAAATGTAGGAATTAGACAAGTACATAAATTATAAATAAAAACAAAAAAGATTTTCACCAAAGCAAGAAGAATAACTTCTAAGCAGTGTCTTTCTATTATTACCTGTTTCTCAATGTATTTAAAGGGAACACTGGCAATTCACTCTAAATGGTTTGTAAAACTTGTTTCACATTCTTCTTTGGTCCAGCCTGCCAAGAACTCAACTTAGACTGTGATGCAGCAGCCCTTCCAGGAGGGCAAGTGAAGGCATGTGTTCCATAGCTTTCAAAACACAGGAGACACCAAGGATTTGCTGCAGCTAATATCAGAACTATCTACATTGTTTACACTTAGCTGATCAGGCCTTAATATGACATCATTTTTTTAAAAGAACTAAATATTGTCTTCCTACCTCCAAGCACACATTGAAGAGGAGGATGTTTGTCCTTAAAGTAGTATTATTTTTGTTTGATAATATGGTTAAGCAAGAGTTTTTCCAAAGTGTCCCATTATTTAGGAAAAAAATTTTTAGGAAGGAGAATTGCTTGACTGAGTGCTAAGAGTGGGGTGAATCTAGCAGAATCCCCCTAGGCCTTTAGGAAACAACCAAAAGTACAAAGGCAGTAAGCTGGTCAAGTAAGCAGATTTATTCAAAACATACTGTCCATTACAAACAGCTTAGACCGGAAAAGGGATACCTCCAGGATGAGGTGCATTCAGAGGAAAGTGGTATCATAGTTTTGACCATACAGAGAACTTAGATAGCACACAGTAAGTGCTTAATAAATGTTTTATCTTTAAGGTAAAAGTCTTTAGTCTTTTCATTAAGGTACCCTGTTTCTGTCTATTCAGTTACCATAAATCAGTAGCAGAAGCTGTTTTAAACATAAATATTTAAACGTGAATACATCTTGTAGAATGTCAATACACCTTGTTAAATGTGAACATCTATTGCCTCCAAACCATTGCAAACCAATATGAATGTGAGCCTGCTTTTCAGTTACTAATTGAAAGACAATCAGGCAAAAAGTGACTTTATAGGCTGGCTTCTTACAAACCTGTTTCATTTTCAAGGACTTATCAGTAGAAAGTTATTTTGTATATGTATTTAAATTTTTTTTTGAAAGTATAACCTCAAGAGACAGAAGGAAGATGCTGAAAAGACCAAAAGAAAAAACCCTTCTAGACTTAAATATGTGTGTATGTATGTATGTGTGTGTGTACGTGCATATACATATACGTGTGTGTGCGCCTCTTTTCATAGTCATGTTATCACATTGTTTAACACTGCCAAAGCCATCTAAGGAATAGAAACAAATATAACAGACCTCACCTTTTCCCATTTGCTCCAAAAGATTTTGCCCACTGTGGTTTAATTCATTTAGTTTAGGGCTTCTTTCAGTTTGCTCTTTTTCTAGGACCTGAAAATACAATCACAAGAAAAGAATATATACAGTCTCTTCAAAATGATTTTAAGGACTATTAGAATTTATGAAGTAAAAACAAATGACATACATACAGTGCTTTAAAATGCTATAAATTACCTTATTTGATCCATCCTTATGAGGCAAAAATACCAGGTATTATTGTTGTTGCTGTTAGTGTTGTTCCTACTTCACAGATAAGGAAACTGGGGATAAGAAAGGTTCTCTGACTCAGGGTCATTTAGCTATTAAGTATGAAGAGATATTTGAACCAAGATCTTTCTGACTCCATGCACAGTGCTTTATCCACTATAACATTCTATCTTTCAAATGCTCCTATGTATAGTTCCTCCCAAATTTATGGATTCAATTATTATCTCTATGTAGATGAGACCTAAATTTATTTGCTCACCCTTTTGTTTCTCTCCTGAGATGCAGTCTAGCATCACCAGACACTATTAGATATTTCCAGCGGATATCCCATAGGCATCTCAAACTCAACACTCAGAAAGAACTCATTATCTTTCCCACAAAACCCTTCTTAACAAGGGCCTCACTATCCTCCTCATCACTCACCCTCACAAGTCTGGAATCATTTTCAACCCCCATGCTGTCTCCCCCCTTTTTAGGCTGTGAGCTGACAGCCTCTTTTGCCTTTCTTTATATCCCCAATGCTTAGAACACTGTCTGGTACACAGTAGGAACTTAAATGGCACTGACTAAAAGAATGTGACGAGTGACAACCTGTCACTGAAAATACAACATTGTTGACACTGACAAGAAGAGTTAACTGACAAGAAGGCTCTGAGAGCCAGCTCCTGATTGGCTGAATAAAAATGGCAGTACCAAGCTATTGCCGGTTAGCACCACCAAGAGCTTGAGAGTGTAAGCCCCTTTAGAGTACCTCTCCAACCCCCTCTGGTTTGAGAGATTAAAGAAGGAAGAAGAAAGCTTTTGCAGCAGCTCTGCAAATGCTGAACTTTTACTGTACAAAGCAAAATCCTCATGATTGAAGAAATAACAATTTGGGGGGGTTTTTTCTCCTTGCTCAGAGTTGTTTGCAGTGAGCTCTCTTTGGGGCAGTTGGCCAACTCTCAGTCCTTTAAATGGAATTGATATTCAAATTAAGAGATTAACATTTTGTCAATATTCTTTTAAGGGTGACTGAAAGTTAAAGGCCCTCTTAAGGGTTACATTGGTTTGAATATAGGAGACAAGAAGATTTGCTTCTCTGCAGAGCAGTGAGGACAAGCAAAAAAGCAATTAGAAGAGATCAGTCTTCATGTGGTACAGATATACCTCAATGGACCAATGGTATCAATGCCTACAGTCCTGAATTATGAGTTACCCAAAGAATTAGAGCTTTCTTTCCTCATATGTTTCCCTTTTAAAATCCCATTAAGTGTGTACCTCACTCTCCTCCAGTTATTAAGTACATGAGTGGAAGAGGGTGACTCATGTTTATGTGTGCATTGCAAATATATTTTGTTACTCATCCATCGGATAATATACCCATACCTATGATGATATTATTACTTTCACCTAATTACTAAGTTAATGGTTATGTTTAGTTCTAAAAATGTAATATAGAAACGTAAGATCTAAAAATGGAGCTAAACATATTTAGTGTCTGGTTTGTATAAACCAGAAAGGCATCAACAAGGGATCAAGAGCTAAACAGCTGAGTAGGAAAACTATATATTCCCTCAGCAGGGTTATCCTTAGGACTCAAGAGAATTTTCATGTAACTGTGTAGTGGTGGTCCTTCTCCAGGAACCTAGATCTACCAGTGTGAGAGCAGGATAGTGAGATTAAACCAAATCAGAGACTAAGTATGTTTCAACATGCCTAGGCAAGGGGTATAAAACACCATGCTGAAAGTACATACTCTAAACAGATTTATATGTTTAACCTTGGACAAGTTAACAACCTACCAGGGTCTCAGGTTCCTCATCTTTAAATATAGGGGTTGACTAAATGACTTCTGAGTTCTACCATATCATTGAACAATAACTCAAAGGCTCTTTATTAAAGCTGCAAGTTATGAGCTAAAATTTCACAACTTATTAAAGAATCTACATTTTACAACCACGACAATTCCTTAATTTCGTGATAATTTCAAAGAAAATTGGAGGCATTGAGAATTTTGTTGTCAGAAAAGAGAATCTGCTCTGAAAGCATTCCCTTCCTAAATGATGAGTACAAAACTAATCATGGCTTAATCATCTCATAAATTATCTTTTTGCCCAGCTCATATGTTACTATAAAATGGAAAGGGGAGAAAAAGAGTCCTATTTCTCTTACCATGGATTTGAAGCCAAATATAAGAATATCCAATCTGAGATTTAAATACAACATTCCAAAACTTCCTCATTAGTCCATTATGCTATGGTAAGCTTTCAGTTCCCATCATCTCCCTCCATGCTGACAGCAGGCCTAACATGACAAAATATTTTGTTCATGAGAAACTATTTACTTTACCTCCAGTTTCTTCTTCATGTCCAAGGTGACTCTCTTCTTCTTATACTCTTTGATATCTATGGTGTGAATGGTACTATTTGATTTTGAAATCCAGTTCAATAGCTCAGCACTTACAGCATCAAACCTAGTTTTAAGAGTTCAGATGTCGTTAGTTTGCTTCCATTCTTCCCTCCCTTCAGGAGCATGGAGGCATTAAAAATACAAATTGTTCATGGGCTATGGGAAATCTCCCCAATGTCTACAAAGAAAATAAACTCACACAATGCTCAATTAATCAAAATGACTTAGCATTTTAACATTAGTCAGGCCTGTTACAAATTATTTTAATGTGTGTTAACTATACAAATTAAGAATTTCCAAAAAATCACATTAAATGAATGTAATTATGCCATAGGAAATTATGAATATGAAGAATTCAAAGAAATGCGGAGAGACCTCTATGAAGTGATGGAGAACAAATAAAACAGAAGAGAAAGAAGAATGCATATTGGTTAGAATGATTACATGTCAAAATTGCCTGCTATTTCCTTTCATGTACCTATGGTATAAAGGTAACCACTCCAGAAACCACTGGAAGAGGAGAAGATATAGTTAAACCAAAAAAAAAAATTATTTATAATCTTTCAACCTTTCAAACCATACATCTCAAGAGAGAGCTTGTGGAAAAAGAGAGAAAAACTGAGTGGCCTGGTGAAATACCAATCAGAAGAAACATTTTGAAAGGAATGTCTTCCTGTTTAAAAAAAATGCTTTAAATCTGAGGCTCAAAACAGTGACATAACATTTTCCAAAAACTGCCACAAAGTTACACAAATCTTGTCATTCCACTTTGACACATGAAGCAGAGAAATTTTCAGTATGGCCTTCAAAATTCCAGTGTTCTTAAGAGAGGTGAGCCAGGACCTCTTTATTCTAAAAATTCCCAGCTGCATTCTCTCCAAGTAACAGAATTAAATAGTCTTTCACAGATTTAAAGCCAAGCACCATCAATGACATAACATTCTTCAAAAACTGCCACAAAAGGGCAGCTAGGTGGCACAGTGGATAGAGCACCGGCCCTGGATTCAGGAGGACCTGAGTTCAAATCCGACCTCAGACACATAACACTTACTAGCTGTGTGACCCTGGACAAGTCACTTAACCCCATTGCCTAACCAAAAAAAAAAAAAGCTGCCACAAAGTTACACAAATCTTGTCATTCAACTTTGGCACATGAGGCAGAGAAATTTTCAGTACGGCCTTCAAAATTCCAGGGTTCTTAAGAGAGGCAAGCCAGGACCTCTTTGTTCGAAAAATTCCCAGTTGCATTCTCTCCAAATAACAGAATTAAATAGTCTTTCATAGATTTAAATCCAAGCACCATTTCTCTTCCTTGCAGATGGAGTCTCTCTCACACACATCTTTCCAAAAGGGCCCCATCTCATCAACATAAAATGCTAAATGAACACTATAGATTGTCTCCTTAATTATAGCAGGAAATTTCTCAAGAAAATTACTGGTTCCTTGTTTTAATCAGTGCTACTAGGATCCCCACTCAATTTAACATTATGTAAGTTTGCCCTAGGTTTAAACCTGTCACGTGAAACAAATACTTCAAAACCTGTACAATTTCATTTTGATTCTTTGAAACACTTCGTTTCACATGAAGGGTAGAGTGCTAAGATCTAATGATGATACATGTATAAAGTATGACACTTCTCCTGCCCTCAATGAGTTTATACTTTAGCAGAGGGGAGAAAAAGAACATATACACAAATGACAGAAATACGCAATAGAAAGTGAAAAGTAAAAAGTAAGGTGTGAGAGTTCAGGGGAAGAGGAAAACATTTGTATGAGGGAGGTATCAAGAAAGGTTTTTTTCTTGTTTTTTTTTTAATTTTTTTTTTTGTATTTTTTTAGTGAGGCAGTCAGGGTTAAGTGACTTGCCCAAGGTCACACAGCTAATATGTGTCAAGTGTTTGGTCTGAGGTCAGATTTGAACTCAGGTCCTCCTGACTTCAGGGCCAGTGCTCTATCCACTGTGCCACCTAGCTGCCCCCAGGAAAGGTTTAAGGTGGCACATACAATTTATTTTGAAGGATGAGTAGGATTTCAGCAGGCAGAGATTGTAAAGGAGGCATTCCAGAAAAAAGGAAATTACATGAGCAAAAGCATGGATGTGGGAAAAGGAAACAGGTATAGAAGACAACGAGAAGTTCAGTTTAGTGGGAAGAGTGGGGCAGAGATATGTGGAATAAAACTGCAATGGTTGGTTAGACCTTGTATCAGTCAAAAGAATCTGGATTGTATTTGTTGAACAATTAGGAACCGTTAAATTTTTTGAGCAAAGAGTGACATGATCAGGTTATGCGGTAGGAAAATTATTTTGGCAATAGATGATAAATAGGAAAAATCATAAAAGAAAGACACTGGAGGCAGGCAGACCAAGGTACTGAACAAAATGCAGGCAAGAGAAAGTAAGGACCACAACTAGGATGGTGACAGTGACAGTGGAAAGGTGAAGTTCTAGAGATAAAAGAGATATTTTGGGGATTTAGCAAGTGACTTGACCTAAGGGAACAAAGCAGAGAAAAAAGTGTCAAAGATGGATTGAGATTACATGCCTGGCAGACTAGAAAAATCATTCTACCATGAACAGAAAGAAAGGAGTAAGGAAAGGCACAGATTTGGGGAGAATTGCAAATAGAGTGGTTTTACATATATTGAATTTGACATGATAACATGCATCCAAGTGAAAATATCTATGAGGAAGCTGAAAATTGGTGCTGAAATTCAAAAAAGTATAGATTGAAAATAATAACGTGAAAGTAATCTACAGAGGAGCAATAGTTGAAGCCAAGGGTATAACCTCAACAAGAGCACAAAGAGAGAAAACAAATAGGCTGAAGACAAAGAAATGCTTGAGATTAAAAGAATAAGAGGAGAAAGAAATACAATTGGGGGAAGATAAAGAAGGGCTCAGGAGACAGAAAAAGAACCAAAAGAATTCAGTATCAGCTAAGTGAAGAGGGAAGGAAGTATTGGGAAATGGGACCAGATATTGCAAAGAAAGCAGGAGGTAAAGGAATGATTTTACCAATTAGGAAGCAACTCACAATAGGGAGGATAGTGTCATCAGAGTTGTAGAAACAGAAGCATTATTACAAAGCGTTCTGTAATGAGAGGAAAGAGAGGAAGAGAAGACATGGAAAATGAACTATCCATCCTAGAAGACTGGCAGAGAAAGGAAGAAGGCAGTGGAGTAAGAGCCAGTGGAAACAGATAGAAGATATAAAAAAGAGGCTATTAAAAGTAGAGCATATTTCTGGGGGAAGCAATAACGAATGAGATTTTAGGTCAAAGGTAGCCTACAACCAAGCTCCACAAAACACAATAATTACCTCTTCCTTTGAGACAGAAATGAAGAGGATAAAATGGGTGAGAAAACTAAAATTTTTGAGATAGGAGGGAGAATTAAAGAAACTCTTGCTGCAGGGCTTCAATATTGTTTGGAAATTACAGGGCAATTATCATATACTGAGATAAAGTGAAGTATGATAGATAGGACTGTAGTCAATCAGTCACTAAGTCAATTTGATATGCACCTACTATGTCCCAGGCACTAGGTCCATGACAGCTTTATTGCTCAATTAGTATGAACCACGTAGGAAATGGTCTTAGTCTGGGTACATGGGAAAGGCAAGCAGCTCTATTTAAGGATGTTCCTAAGTTAAATGTTCATCATTAAAGAAGTGTCTTCCTTTTATAATAATAATAATAGAGAACATTAATAAAGTACTTACTGTGTCAGGCACTTTGCGAAGCACTTTAAAGTTATTATTTCATTTGATGCTTACAACAACCTTAGGAGTTAAGAGCTATTATTATCATTCTCATTTTACAGATGAGGAAACTGAGGCAAATAGAGGTTAAGTGACTTGCCTGGGGTCAGACAGGGGGTAAGTGCTGATAGTAAAATTTGAACTCAGGTCATCCTGGATGCAGGCCTAACACTGCATCTACTGCTCAACCTAACTGCCTTCTAATAATGGGCAAAAGAATTTCAATTTATCCAAAGCATAAAAATACATAATATGTAGGAATTTTGTTCAGAAAATCAATACATTCATCCTTACTTTTTCTTAGCTTCAAGGTCCACATGTACTTGTCTCTTCTTTGGTGGAGGAGGGGGAGGTAATTCTTGTTTGGATTTCTTAGCAGTGACTTTGTCTCTAATGCCAACAGTTTCCAAAAGAAGCTTCTGAGGAACCTGGGACATTCCTAGTTTCGCTACCGCCTGAGTCACCTGTTTAAAAAAAAACAAAAACAAAAACAAATAAACCAAGACCTTGATCTGACTGTAAAATATTATTGAATCTTTCACTGTTTTTAAGTTACTGGTATTTAGACATATATAAACAAATCAGATGTGATTAAATGATGAGGTACAAATAGGTTCCTAAATTTTTTCTTTTCATACTAGAATAGAAAAGTTTTAAAAGTCAAAAACTTTAAAAACAATTTGGCCTTACTTTATGATAAACTAAATATCAATAATCAAATGCAATCACCTTTCAAGTTTATCTTAAAATATTTTACTTCAAAAAGAGATTATGAAACATATTTTAAACCAAGCATTACCTGGTTAGAGTAGTCTTCTAACCTCTGAACCAAGCTATCCCACCTCTGGGTCAGTTCTTCTGAATCACTATTGATCTTCTCAGAAATCCTAGGATTGTCAAGGAGTTGACTCACATCTTGGCCAATCTCACTTAGTTGGTCTAGGGTCTGACGTTTCATTTCCATGTCTTCCTTCAAAATCTAATATTTAAGATGTTTGTTAGATGATTCTGTCCTAATAGGAATTTGTCTTCCTATTCCCCTAAGTTAGAGTCATTGACATAAAGATAGGAAAATAAATAGTAAATGATATGATAGCACAAGGTAAAAAGAAATAAGACTTCTAGTACTAGCAAGATTCTAGCTACATAATCAGCATAGGCTAAAAATTACTAAAAATCACAGGCCATCCAAGGCAGCTGCATAAAAGGGAACACTGGCAAAGAGAGTACTCACAGCCAGTCGCCGAACACTGACACTCAGCTCCTTTGGGTCTTTGAAGTTGCTTGTTTGCACTTTATTTAAAGCCTCTTCTTTCTCAGTTAGCCAAGCTTTCAGCAAACACTGTAGATGAAGAGGATAATACCAAGTGGATAATATAATTAGGGAGCAATTCTTAAATCAAAATCACCAGGTGTTTAAAACTAGCAAGTCTTATTTCATTGGAAGCCCCTTTTAAAACAGAGACTTCAAACACAAAAGTTTATGACATATATAAAAAACAAATAATAATAAAAATAACATGCCAAGGGTACTAATGAATCAGACAAGACAACGATAATGAATATTCAACCAAAGAAGAAGGAAGACATTTAATACAATTAAATCATACCTTTGAAATGTTATGCTCTTTGCATTTGCAACAATTTACCCAGAATTAAATAAGTGCTTAAGTAAATAAAAATCATTCCCAGGTAGGCAGGATATTTCTGAGACACAAAGATGAAGGTCACCTTTAAGCAAGATTGAGAAACTAGAACTTACAAATTCAATGTCAAAGTTACCAAGTCAATAAATCAGTAAGTAGCTTCAGAATCACACAAAGACAAATCCAAATCACTAACCATAAACTTTTATGGCTTTCATCTCTTTCAAATCAGTTGACGTTGAGAAGTGTAGATATTCATGACTTGAGTAGGAGTAAGACAAGGAAAACTCTTAAGGTCCTTTTATGATTTGATTCAATGAGATAAAAATATAAGATGAGAACACTTGTCTAGACCTTCCTGTAGAGTCAGAGATATTGATCTGGTGTTTATACAATCATTTGCATTTAAGGTCTTTCCACAGCGGGGGAAAAATCATCTAACAGAAACAATTAGAACTGGACCCATATCAATATTACTCATCTGATCATGTAATTGTGAAAAGATGGGGGAGTTGGGTGGGAAAGAGGGAAGAGTACATCAATTATTTTTGTTCTACTTCCTTAACAAAAATAAAAGATTTATTCTTTTTTCTTTAAGAGAATTATTCACAAGTATCTACTTATGCTGTCATTTATCAGGCAGCTAGAGAGGTTTGAGAGATTTACCTTTCCTTTAGCGTGTGATTGGTGTTTTGGAAGGAAATGACAGCATATAGAGTTAAAATATTTTGCAGTTTCCTAAAAATATTTTGCTGAAGTTGGAACTAATTCCCAGAACCTATTTCCAATTATCTTGAAATTTCTGCACGTGGGTGAACAATAATCCCCTGACAGATTATTTAATCGAATACAGTACGGCACTTGGATTTAGCTCATGTATCTACAAGAGATCAATATATCAAGTAAAAATGATGGTTTCAATTTTCCAAAGAGAGTTTCATTACTAGAGCATTTTTGTCACATCTGAACGAGACTAACCTCTTTTTACATTACCAGTAGCAGTACAGCTAAAGTCATTAGGTTCTGTTACAACATCTTAAAAGAAATAGAAGACTTAGCTGCTTGGTTTTGTCAAGAGATTGTTTCTTCTTTATGTAAGAACACAACTTACACAGTTTATGTTACATTACTCAGGAACGTAGTTTGGAGCCACTTAAAGGCACAGTCTAATAATCTTCTGTTTCTTTCTATCATGAGGGTAGAATGTAAATTTTAGATTTTGATATGTAGTTATTTATCCCATTTTCTTTCTTTCCCCTTAGTAGTATTTTATTTTCTTTCAATTATGTGTGAATAGTTTTCAACATTGATTTCTGTAAAATTTTGAGTTCCAAATTTTTCTCACTTCCTCCCCAAGTCAGAAAATAATCTGATATAGGGTATACCTGTACAATTGTGTTAAATATATTTCCACATTAGTCATGCTGTGAAAGAATCAGAACAAAAGGGAAGAACCATGAAAAAAAAAAATTTTAAAAGAATGAAAACACTGTGCTTCAATCTGCATTCAGATTCCATAGTTCCTTCTCTGGATGTGGATAGAATTTTCCATCACAAGTCTTTTGGAATTGTCTTGGATCATTGCATTGCTGAGAAGAGCATGAGAAGAGCTAAGTCTATCATAGTTAATCATTGAACAATGTAGCTGTTACTGTGTACAATGTTCTTCTGGTTCTGCTCACTTCCCTCAGCAACGTGTAAGTCTTCATGTAAGTCTTTCTAGGTTTTCCTGAACTCCACCTGCTCATCAGTTCTTATAATACAATAGTATTGTATTACAGTCATATACCACAACTTGTTCAGCCATTCCCTAATTGATGGGCATCTCCTCAATTTCCAATTCTTTGCCACTGCAAAAAGAGCTGCTATAAATATTTTCATACATGTGCTCCCTTCTCCTTTTTTATGATCTCTTTGGGATACAGACCTAGTAGTGGTATTGCTAGATCCATGGTTATGCACAGTTTTATAGCCCTTTAGGCATATTTCCAAATTACTCTCCAGAATGGTTGGATCAGTTCACAAATCTACCAATAATGTATTAGTGTTCCAACTTTCCCACATCTTCTCTAATATTTATCATTTCCCTTTTCTGTCATATTAGCCAATCTCACAGGTATGATGTGGTATCTCAGAGTTGTTTTAATTTGCATTTCTCTAATCAATAGTGATTTGAAATATTTTTTTATATGACTACGGCTAGCTTTAATTTTTTCCTCTAAAAACTGCCTGTTCATATACTTTCACTATCAACTGAGAAATGACTGCTATATATTCATTTTCAATAAAAGCCAAAATACTAAAGCAGTCAGAATCATTCCCAGTAATTAATGTTGAAAATTGAATTTGGCATTCCTGCTCCTGCTCTTGACTTCCTGATTCATGTTAACATAACTGGCATTCTCTTAGTCAGTGAAGCCAGTCACCTTTGAAGCTTTGAATCAAGTTGAATATACAAGTTGGTGTTTCTCCCCTCTCTTTCCTCCCCCCCCCCCCACCCTTCCTTTTCCTTGCCCCCTCCTCTCCTCTCCTCTCATGGGGTATCATGCCCTTACCAGAGGGTGTTCTGCCCAAAGGAAGGTAAATTTTGATGGCTGAAACCTATCTAGTTAACATGGAATTTACTGGCTAGATTTTCTTCTCAAAGCCCATGCCTTAAACCCAATTAATTCTCAATCACATAGACTGGACAACAACAGGTCTCTGCCCAAGCACCACTTAATGGTTATTTTTTGGGCATTCCTGGCTCAGGGTGAATGTAAATAGTAACTGTTTCTCTTTTGGCCAGCAACCCTGAAGATCTTACCCTCCCAGTTTGATTTTTTTTTAATTAAAGGGGCCATGGGGCAGCTAGGTGGCACAGTAGATAGAGCACCGGCCCTGAAGTCAGGAGGACCTGAGTTCAAATCCGGCCTCAGACCAAACACTTGACACGTACTAGCTGTGTGACCTTGGGCAAGTCACTTAACCCCTATTGCCTCACTAAAAAAACAAACAAAAAAAAAAAATTAAAGGGGCCATGCCTTGACTCATTTCTTAAAGAGGCTTATTCAATGAATGGGCGTTGCCTCATTCAAAGTGAGTGCTTGAAAAGACCTTAGCTTAAAAAGGCCAAGGTCTCCCACTGCATCCAGGGCTATCTCCAGTTGTCCTGATCAATATCTGGCCACTGGGGCCAGATGGCTCTGGAGGAGAAAGTGAGGCTGGTGACTTTGCACAGCCCTCCCTCACTGAAATCAAATTCAACTGCAAGTCATGTCATCATCTCCCTGATGTCATGGTCGTCGTCTAAAATGAAGGACAAACCACACACACACAACCTGGTTTTATGATGAATGTGGGCAAAGATAAGAGACTATCAACTATTTACTGCCCCCACTGACATCTTTTATGAGACATCTATAAATGTGAGATGTGCAAATTTAGAGATATCTCTACTCCAAATGTTTATATGAACTATTTGTGCCCTACATGTGGTAGACCCTTCCAAGCGCTTATTGGCCATTTATCTGTCAATTATTGGTCATCAGCCACAGTTAGACACACTGTACCTTGACCCCAACATAGTGATGTCATTCTAGTACTCTTCAAAAACAAAAGACAATAGCCAGCCAACCAGATGTCTTTCCTAAACTGCTTTTAAAACATTCTGTCTTGAACTGTAGTTATTCATCTACTTATGTAATCCTCAAGGCTACATTTTAAGCAACTTGAGGACAAAAATAATATCTCATTAATCTTTGCAACTACTTCAGGACTTAGCACACAATGCTTCACATCCAAAAGGTACTCAGCAAATATTTGGTAAATGTCTAATAATGACTAATGATAACCAAAGAAATCAACAAAATATACCCGCTGGTTTGTTCTGAGTTATTTTCACCTAGCTGCTCTCAAATATTACACATGTGCATTTTTATTAAATTATTGGCAAAATATAGGTGTTTCTCTTTAAAAACAACAGCACTGATGTTTGTGGAAATAACTGGATGCATTTGAAAATATGAAATTGAACATTTGAATAAGTACTCTGGAAATAAAGCTGGACCATGTACTTAATTTGTTATTTTTAAACACAGCAATGTGAAAGAAAAATAAAAGTAACTCATATACTAAAATAATATTTAGGCATACTGGAAGAATCCATTATTCAACCAATGACTAGGCCAAACTATTTGGCTTAATCCAAAAAATACTTCATTCAATAGACATCAATGTAAGGAATAGTCCAACTTGGATTCAGTAATAGTTTATTTCATTAGCCTCTAATGATGAAGAATTTATTCAAAAATGAAATTATCATACTACATGTGAGAAGGAATTCCTTTTTTTATTTTTTGGGAGGTAGGAGGGTTACAAATGTGTGATTTCATCTGCTAGGGAAAGGGCTCCTACAGATTCTATGTCTACCAATGCAGACTGGTAACTTGACAATAACTCATAGCTTAGGGGGAAGTATATTGTACTCAGGTATTCCTGAATCCATGGCCAACCCTATGTATGTCCTAACATAGCTCTTCCTATGTACCAAAAAAGATGACAATATCCTTACTTTAATGCAGCATACAGTGTAATAAGTAAGGTAAAGTATACAAAGTAAGCCACAACACAGGGTATGATATATACTCAATTGCAATGGACTATCATAACTCAGAAGAGGAAGAGAAAATTATAATTACTAATTAATTTGGTTATTAATTGATTATAAAACTTATGGTTACTAATTAACTATCTGTCATAAATTAAACCAAGAAAACTCTATGAAGTTTAACAAGTGATCATTTTAGAATTTCTACATTTTTCAGACAAACAATGACCCAAGTATTAGTGTTCTATACTCTAGTCATTAAACTGTGGATGAAATAAAAAAAACTGTTATTACAGTAAAGCCATGAGGTACTAGATATATCCTCTGACCTTCAATGATAAAATGAAGAGGGGAAAGAATTTTGAAGAACACCATAAGGAACTGCCACTAATTTGTAACGGACCTAAAACTGTAAAGCCTTGAAAGCACATCTTAAAAAGAGAATAAATAAGTCTTTAAAATGTAAATTAAGTGTTATCTCCTGACACATCTGTAATGGTTTAAAAGTTTTTGAAAATATTTCTTCATTTAGTGACATATTTGCAATAATAAAGGAAAGATTGATGTAGTTAAACTTTTTGAAATTAGTCATAATTAAAGTTTTCATTTTTTAAAAAATTCTACTTTGGATACTTAAGGTAATTGTTTCTTACCTGTTCTTCCAACAGTTCCTGCCATAGTATATTAATCTCATGCAACCTGTTCCAACGTTCCTCAGTCCAACGGCAAACAGCTGTCCAACGTTCACCAAGTTTCTGAAAAAGAGATTAAATTTTTCCTCACCAAACCTAAACTTGAAGGTGTAGTGATATCTTCTCAAAAATAGTATATGGCTCTTCAAGAAACCTTTTATTGTTTTCATCTAGGAAGCAACTAAATTCATGACTATTTAATTTAAAAATAATCTTATATCCTAGTGGAGTTTTGAAATTTTGACATATTTTCATAATGGAAGTTTCAAAGGATTCTATTTATAATCTAATTACAAAAAATGTTATTGAAATGTCCATAATTGACCATACCATTGTTTCTTTTGAATTGGTTATATTGATATCTGTTTTTAACCTCATGTTCATTTTCTAATTGTTCCTCCTCTATGTCTCAAATCAAAGAACAAAGGAACAAAAGGAACAAAAAAGAAAGAAATCCAGTAAAAGTCAGCAACATAAAAATAAAATCGGACAATATATTCAGTGTCCCATATCTATAGTGTCCTCTACATCTGAAAAAATGGGAGAGTACAGTACATTCTTGTGTTTCTTCAGAGAAAAATTTGTCATTGTATCATATAGCATTCGCTTCCTCCTGTGTTGTTCTGTCCATGTGCATTGTTATGGTAGTTGAGTATGTTGTTTAACTAGTTGTTTTCATTTCACTTTAGATCCTACTTAACCATGCCATCCTGTATGCTTCATATTCATCATTTCTAACAGCACAAGGATAATCATATTCATGCATCATAATTTGTTTAGATATTCCCTAATCAGTGGGCATCTAATTTATTGCCAATTCTTCACTACTATACAGAATGGTGTTATAAATATTTTGGTGTATATATTAGACTTTTTTTTTTAATTTTGACCCCTTGGGGTATAGTTTGAGGCCATATAGCAATGTAGAAAAAATGCTGGATTTGACTTGTGTGGGGTCTATTTCAATTTCTAAAACATACTTTGTGACCATGGGGAATTTAGCAAATTTCCCTCGGCCTCAATTTCTTCTTCTAGCATCTGTGCATAAAAATGCCCAAGACTATCCTCACAGGACTTCTGGGATATTAAAATGTCTTGAAAAACTTGCTAATTTCTCCACTTTTAATTACCTTTTCTCTACCTTGTACAAACCAAGACATGGTTGTAATATATGCCTACATTTGGACTTATATACAACAGCATAAAATTGTATAAAAAATGCCAGCCTAAGTTTACTAAAAGATTCTTCAGGATCATATAAGTGTAAGTGAAAGACAACGTAAGAGAATTCACCTCTTTTTTATGTCACAGACCCCTTTGGCAGTTTGACAAAGTCTATAAAGAACATTTTAAAATAATCTTTTAAAATGTAGAAAAATGAAATATATAGGATTACAAAAAATTATACCAAATTTTAAAATATTGAAATAGTTACCATTTTTTTTTAATTTTTGTAAACCCAAGTACATGGACTACAGACTAAAAAACCTCTGATCTAGTCCAATATTTGGCAAACTGAGGCCCACAGAATGTGGTTCCCCCCCAAAGTCACACAAGCAAAGATTTTAAGTAGCAGAGGCCAAATTCAAATTTAGGTTTTCTGGCTACAAATAGAGTGATTTTCTACTACAGTCATTTATGATAATAAGAGTACTAAATGTATCCTCACATTTTAAAATAAAGGGAGAAAAAACCACCTTTATCAGAAGATCTTTTCTTCCATTTTAAATCAGTATTCTACAAACGTTAATATTTTTATTTGTTTTTATATTGCTTCAAACACTATCTTCAATAATTCAACCACTTTTCATTTATGTTCGTTCAGTTAAGTAATAAGGATCGAGATGTGATTTTCTAAAAGAGCTTAATACTGGAAAACTCACTTAACTATATTTATTGAAAATAGATTTTGACAGTTTTATCTATGTAAGGAGAAGACAGGCTCTTCTGTTGTCATATGCATTGAGAATTAGGGCAGTGATGCATATGCTTGGCAGAGCTGGCCCATTTAATTCATACCCAAAAAAAGGATTCCAAAAGTTGAATTTATGGTATGCTAAATGTAGAGAAATGGATGGACATTTCAATCAATCAATTTCAATCAATAAATCAAATGTTTCAGAAGGGCAAACAGGGCATGGCACAGAGCAGGTGTTTTATAAATGCTCACTGACTAATTGATTGATGTAGGTAAAAACATCAATAACTAGACATGTATGAAAGCAAAAAGGCCCACTCCTTGAAAGAGTGAGGTCTCAACTAACAGAGATCATAACCAGAAGAATATTTGACAGGAACATCATAAGAGTTCCTGTTCAAAAACACATCTATCTAAATGTTGAGAGAGGGTGGTTCTTTCCAGCTCTAAGAGTTTGTAAAATCATATCACATGGGCAATGTAATATCTATCAGAAAATCCACAGTTCACCAAAATAAACCCTCCAATTTCTCTGAAAGTCATCTACATCTTGGCTTTGGAAATGCAGGAAACATCACATTCAAAAAGCAGTTGTTGGAGCTTGTCTATGGCCCAACACAAGAACAGGCATGTAAAACCTTAAGGTGGCTAAGAAGCAGAGAGAAAGACGACAGAGGGTCAAACAAGTACTGAGTCATAGACCAGATGTTCTATGGGCTCAACTATTTACCTGCAGTTGATCTTCCAAGACAGCTGTAGCACCTTCTCCACTGTTCTCATCAACAATCACAACCATGTGAGTTAATGAATTTACTTTCACCTGCTCTGTCTCAAGATCATTTTGCAATTCCTGGGGGAAGAAAAAAAAAAGAACAACTATTATACCCACTCTTGCATATTTTCCCATTTAAAAATCCACTAAGTTTTCATTAGTAATTAAAAACACTTAATGGGGCAATGTATTTAAATTTCCAACCATTAACTTAACAGTTTTACTAATGGAGCCAATACTCTACACATTTCTAAATTCCAAGGCAAATCAAGACAATTTGAAAATCTAATAAATGTCATGCACATTTCCATAAAACAGTCAACACTATTTTTGTAGGACCTAACTAAAAATTGAAGAGAAGAGGCCCAGTACAATGGTGAGTGATACACTAGAGATATAAGTAGAGAATAGATGTATTCCTAACTTTCCTATTTCTATCGAGGATTTCTAATCACCCAGATTTCCAAAACTGGAGCCATTCTTGATTCTTCATCTCCTACATCCAATAATCATCAAATTTTACCAATTCTAAACCTAAAACATTTCTCACATCTGTACTTTCCACATATATAGCCAACATCATAGTCTGAGACTTTCCCACTTCTCCTCTATCTAATACAGTCTCTACAGTTACTGAACTAAAATAAATAAATAAAATATATCCTAAAATATAGATCATGTTACATGCACCTGCTCAGTGCTCTCTACTGCCTCAAGGATAAAAAACAAACTTTTATCTTTGGCATTTGAAGCCCTTCACAGCCTGTAATCAAGCAAACTTTAAAGATTAATTTCATATTAATTCCCCTAACCCACTAAAAATTCCAATCCAAATAGCCTGCTTGCTGTTCCCCATGACATTCCATCTTCTTCCTCCATACCATTGTACAGGCTGTTCCCTAAAACTGGAATGCTCTCCTTTCCTCACCTCTGCCTCTTTCTCACTAGTCAAAAACCCAACAAAAGTACAGCCTCTAGACAAGAGCCATTTCCTGATGTCCTCAGTTTTTGTTGCCCATCCCCCCCCCAAAAAATTAATTTGTATCTAATATCTGTGTACATGTTCTTCCAAAGTAAAATCTAAGTTCTTTAGGGGTGGGGACCATTTCATTTTTTGTTATTTCATTCTCCATGCCTAGCACAATGCCTGATAAGTAGTAGACATTTGATGAATTGACTGATTAATTAATTGGGGAATCTAAGAAGTACTGAGCTTGATTACATAAGTATATAGAATTAGCATCCATACAATTTAGTGAAATCACAAATAAGTAATCACAGAAAAGTCCAAAACTGTATCCTAAATGGGAGGCTACAGAGACAGTAGAGTTTCTAGTAAGTTTTGAGAATCAGGAGCAAAGTAGAAAGAGATAGAATTGGAAAGAACCTAAATAAATCATTTAATTTCTTTCAATTTCTTTCCCTATCACCACCCCCCCCCAAAAAAATAGAGGTAAGAAAAAATACACTTCATTATTTCCCCAATTCACAGGATGCATTTATATGAGTGAAAGGTGAAAATTCTCTGCTTTAGCTTCCTTATCTTGCAGATATTTTTGGAAAATAAAAGAGAAAAAGACATGAGATTGCATACGAGATCATGAGACAATGAAATACTTTGTACAAAGCAATGTACAGCAGATACCTTAAATTTTCCTTTTTCAATAAAAACTAAATGACCAAGAAATAAAGATTAGAATCAATAATCAATCAATAAAATTAATGTGAATCAACTTTTCATCAGAATAGGAAACATTTATGACAAAATGTTCCATTGCATGATTACAGCCCATTATCTCCTCAGCATTATCCCTGCCAGTCACTAGCAAGTCCATGGTTTCTGATCTTAATGAGGAGCCAATGTCTGATTTTTCCTGCAGAAGAGTTAAAATACTAATCTCCTTTAAAAATACTAAGGCTACAATTGAGTATTGTTCTTTTCTTCCTCACAGTCCATTCCCTCCTCTGCATACACAAGAAAAGACTAAGGAAAGAGGGTAGAGACTTTCCCTGAAATTAGCCCTCAGTTTCTAAACAAATAGAGGGCACCTTAAGGACTTTCCCCTTTCTGCACTTATGATAGAACTCAGTAGATTTTTAGAAGGCTAAATGTTGCTTCTCATATTTGATATGGTACACAAGAAATATTAGACAGATTTACTTTATGTTCTTCCAGCTGCTTCTTTAACGATTGTAAATCATCATCCAAGGGGCAGCTTTCCATCTTCTGAATGCGCTCTTCTGTGAGAGTCAGCCAATCAGAGAGTTGTTGCAACTGCTTCTTCTGCAACTCCATGAGTACATCATGCAGCCTGCCCACAGACGAACATAACACAGATTTACTCCCACTGGCTCTTTCATTGTCAGAGGAAAAATAAAATTCAGGCATCAGAAGAGTACAAAATAACACACCCAACTCTAACCATTTGAAGCAGCATTGAGGATTAAACCTTTGTTCTCTCCATAAACCCAAGTCAATGAAACACAGGCAAAGAACTGAAATGAATACCACCCATAATTCATAACAAAATGATTGTTTCATAAATCAGGAATTCCTGTTTATTAAATAGGTGGAAGTTGCTATGAAATGAAGTTTGTCCCTTACTGCACAATACATGGGCTAAAATGAAATACACCCAAAAAAATGCTTCAGAACAATTTGAATATTATCAATTTGACAACAAAACATGCAAATACTGTCATACTGAGTAATTTTAGTAGCTACCAGTAATTTATTTCACTCCAAATTAGCTTCTACGTTACATCTTTTAACTCAGATTTTATTAATGGGTTAGGAAAAAATTGAAGAGCAAACAAAATTTAATTATGCTTTTCAACAGAGACTATTTAATGAATATTTGGTGACAGATTTCTTTTTAAAACATTGTATTTTTTTTACATGCCATGTAGACTACTTTACTCAAGTTAGTTCAAGGAACAAACATCGGACGTGTCCTGGCCGTAACTCACCGGGACTGCCTATCCATACTTTCTACTCGGAGAGCTTCCCACCGAGAGTTCAATAGTGTCATTTGTTCCTGAATCTCGAATCCTTCTTCATCCGATAAAGTGCCCTGTGTTATCAGCTGGTTTCCAGCCTGCAGAACACTACCAACACTGCTCTGATGTGCAGTCAACTCCATCATAAATTCCTAGAAAGACACAACATTACTATGCTTTGTGGGTTGTTCTTTCTGAGGAATCTTAATAAATTGTTTATGCTTAGATGCTAGTGCTGCAGAATAACATAGTGTCCTCAAATGCAGCAGGTTGTATCTTATTTATTTCTAGATATTAAGTCCCTGAAAATGGATATTAAAACATTTCTTGTTTTTAAATTAATTTGAAACTTAAATACTAAAACTTAAACATACAATAAGAAAAGAAAAAGAAAGTCATTATAAACTTAAATACCAAAACTTAAATACAAAGAAGAAAAAAAAAAGCATTGCCATGTGCACAGCAGAACATAAGAGAGGATTTAAAATATATAGCAATAAATTTTTATTTCAAGAAAGCCTATATAATAAATACTACAATTGTGTTCAAAGCTGTCCATCTTTTCTTCGCTTCATCATAAGTTTTCCTTTGTTCTCTACTGTGCTCTTTTTACTTTGTTCTTTTTTCCCCCTTATTCTCCCAAGAAGGCTACAATTAAGCAGATACACACACACACACACACAAACACATATACACATTCTTGCACTTACACATACATATACTTAGATATCCATAATCATACTCATATAGAGACATATACATTTAAATGCATCTATGTAAGACCACATTATATTTGTTTGTCTTCTGTTTCTCTGAGGGTGGATAACATCCTCCTTCATAGGTCCAAGTCTTTCCAAATTTTTCTAAGTCTACCAACTCATCATTTCCTATACCACAGCAATATTACAAGCTTATACTATCTAGTTATTTTAAATAATCTAAAACAGTATTAATATGACTGACATAGTTTCCCTATTTTTCTCTTTTGATTAAATCTATTTTAGCTTTAACTTTGTCTGAGATCATAATTACTACCTGGTTTTTTTCCCCCTAATAAATATTACTCCTGATCTTTATTTTATGTTTGGATGTATGTCCTATGGTAACTGCCAGGTAGTCCAATTATTCTTGTGTTTTCTCTTCTTGATCTGTTCTCCTAATCAATTTTCTTATGTTTCACTTTCTCTTCTATATTTTCATTCTTTATATTTTGTTTTGTTATTTCTTGGTCTCTTGTAACTTAGATGACATCCCTTTGCCCAATTCTAATTTTCAAGGAGTTATTTTCTTCCTTAAGATTCTGGATCTTGGGGCAGCTAAGTAGCACACCGCCCTGGAGTCAGGAGGACCCGAATTCAAATTCAACCTCAGACACATAATAATTCCTAGATGTGTGACTCTGGGCAAGTCACTTAACCCCAACTGCCTTGCCAAAAAAAAAAAATTCTGGATCTCCTTTCCTAGTTGGTTGACTTTCTTTTCATAATCTTCTTGTTTTTCTTGGATTGTTCTTATTTTTTTTTTATTTTCCTCAATCTCTCTCATTTGATTTTTAAAGTCTTTTTTTAAGTTCTTCTATGAATTCTTTCTGAACAGGTGACCATTTGATATTACTCTTTGAGATAGGAAAGGCTTTTTTTGCTTCAACATCTTCCTCTGAAGATGAAATCCAGTCTTCTCTATTCCTACAGTACCTTCCAATGGTTGGGTTCTTTCTCCTTTGCCTGGTCATTTTGTTTATAGGAGCTTGTTACTGCAATCACCTCTAGTCCTGGGGTATGGGGGATGATGTCTCTGGCCTCAGATGCTCCTTCAGTTCTCCCCTCTGGCCTGGAACTGAAACCAAGAATTCCATCCTCCTGTAAGTACCCACAGCCAGCAGCCTCCAGGCTCCCCTGCTTCTGAATCACCAGGTGTGTGCCGATTCCTTCTTGCCCAGGACCATGTTTCAGCAGCACAACTGGATCTGGAGCTCTTTATCAGCAGAGGTTCCCTCAATCTTCCTCTGCTCAGATGTCTCAACTCCCCACACTCTCCGGGAGGTTAAAATTCCTATTGCTGGGGCCAAAACAACCTCCCAACCCAGCTAGCCCCAGGGCACTCTGCTTTTTGTTTCAGTGGAAACTAGCCTGGAGGTGTTTATACTTCACAGGGACCAAACCTCATATCTTCTCAGATTGTTCCAGGAGGACCACTGTTCTGCCCCAACTGTTGTTTATTTTTACCACTCTATGTTCTTCCTGAGGCACTATTTTGTCTTATTTGTGGATGAAATCTGGAGAGCTTGGAACTTTCTGACCTACTCCACCATGTTCCCAGAATCCTCTCATTAAAACATTTCTTAAGAAAAAGAATATAAATGGATATTTTTCAATGGTAATTTTAAGGAACAATAAGAAATAGCTCTGTATTTGAGGTTAACAAAGAATGTACAATGATCCTATGAAGTTGATAGTATAAATATAACCAATACCCAGTTTCACAAATCAGGAAACTGAGGTAAAATTATGTGCCTTAAGTTATACTACTTTGAAATGGTAACACACACAAATTAATCCAGTTTTTGTGAGTACAAGTCCTGGACTCCTTTACCACGTTACACCAAATGAATTCATAACATGAGAAATAATTCATGAAAATAGGACTTTGTTCAGTTACTTTCATATCCAAAGGGGGGTTCGATGAAATCAATTGTCAAAAGTCCACCATACAGAAAAACTATGCAATCATTAAAAAGTTTATCTCACACACACACACAGGTAAATTGATTATACAATAATAGAATGGAAACTCTTTGAGGGCAGAACTCTTTCACTTTCGTCTTTGTATTCCCAGCACTCTAAGTGCCCTGCACAGTGGGCACTTCATAAATATTTGTTGGATTAAATTTTGTTTAATTACTTTCAATAAAATTCAGCATTTATTAAGCAGATTCCTATAACAAAACAACTGCTAGCTGAGCAAAATTAAGATTTAAGACAAAACTGAATGTGGTACTTCCTACAGCATCAACAAATAAGGAATCGCATCAAAGAACAAAAAAAAATGCTTTGAGGCTTCTTTCTTTTAAAGAACATACCTTAAGACTGATAAAGCTGTGCCTTAATTTTCAAACAGTTACTACAATCTATACAACTTATAATAAGATTAAAATCCTAAATCCAATTCCAATCCTCAGTTAATCATCTGCCTAGAATTTCATAACAAACTACAGTTTAAATATCACAAGTCTGAAAATATGCCATGACCTTTACGAAGAGCATAATTTAGGAAAGAAAACAAACACTATTGAAAAGCCTCTGTAATAAAGTAATGAAAATTGTGCTTGATGATTCATCATAGTAAAATACAGCTATTTACTTCATGAGTAGCAAACTGTTCTTTGACTTCCTCAACATCATCAGAAATGTCATCTTGCTCTTGAAATGTGTCTTCAGCTGAAAGTAGCCATGTTAGAACTTCTTCCAAAGCTACTTGGTAACTATCCAGGTCCATATCCATTTCCGTGACCGTACTGGGGGTCTCAGCTCTAGAACCTTCATGTTCTTCCTCTTCTGGTGCTGCAGCCTATAAACACAAAAGGGAAAATGACATCTTTGCCGTGAATAGAAAAGGCTTCCCATCACTAAAGATGAAGCCCTTCAATCAACCAACCAGTACTTATGAAATGCCAATTAAATGTGGGGCCCCATAGTCTCTGTCTGCTGATCTAGTTAGGGAGAAATGATCAACACTCAAGAAACATTCAAGACAAGAATTAATTAAGGGGCTGTATGTTACAGAATATAGATGCTACTAGAGTACAGAAAAGAGAGGCAATAAGTAAGGTTGAGAATAGCCAGAAAAACATTCATAAAAGAGGGGTGACTGGAAATAATGGAAGTGGAGAACCAAAGATGTAGAACAAGGACATTCTGGAGGATCAGCAAGAGACAGGTCTGACACAGAATGAAATGCATTTGGTCGGTGTGTTGTGGAAATTAAAATTAGATGGTGCACAGCATAATGCTTTAAACACTCCTTATGCTTAATTTCTGATGGAACTGAATTAAAGCTGGATAGGTAGTACGGGACCAGATTATAGCATGTCTTGGAAACCACACAAAGAAATTTAAATTATCAGGTAATAGGCCACAGAAAAACACTGGAAGTTTGATCAACAAAAGGGTGCAGTAACTCAAATCCTGTTTAAAAGGATTACTCTGGATGCAATATGCAGGATTGACAAAAGTAAAGAGAGAATGAAATCAGAGAGAAATTGTCACAGTAATCCAGCAATAAAGTGATGAGGGGCTCAGTGAGGCTAATGAAGTAGCAATGGGAGCAGAATACACATGCATGCACACACACCCACACACTCTCTCTCACACACACACACACACACACACACACACACACACACACACATACATGAGAAATGTTTTTGCAAGACAACTAAAGAACTGATGTACTGGATCTAAGAGAGAAAACAGACTGATGAATCAAAGATGACTCCAAGGATTCCAGCTTGCATAACCACTAAAAGAACAGAGCTGCTACCAGCAAGGAGTAGGAAGCTGGATCGTTCCAAATAAAAGGGCGTAGGGAGCATATAGGAAAATGCGCCTCACTTCAAAGAGGAAACTAAAGTCTAGAGATAATGAGTAACGTGTTAAAGGTCAATTATGAAGCAGCTTGGTGGTATGCAGTGGATAGAGCACTGGGCCTGTAGTTAGGAGGACCTGAATTCAAATTCAACCTCAGATACTAACTAGCTGTGTGACTCTGGACAATCACAACCTCTGTTTGTCCAGGTTTCTGCAACTGTAAAATAAGGGGTAATCACAGCACTTACCTCTCAGGGGTTTTGTGAGGATCAGATTAGATAGTATTTGTAAAGCACTTAGCATTATGCCTAGACACCATATAAATGTTTATCCCCTTATTTACCTAGTGACAAAGATATGTTTGCTTTAAAGTGACTGTCAAATAGTCAAGAGAAATATTATCCGAGGATAGTAATGTTATCCTAACACTGCAATAAGGAAGCAGTGTCCAGAAGGAGGGAGGTAGTGATCCCACAGGATCCTTCCCTGGTCAATGCTGGATCACTGAGTTCAGTTCTAGGCACTACAGTGTAGGAAAGAAATAGACGAACTTAGGTATGCCCTCCCAGCCCATTGCTATCTATTATTATTATGCTAGCATGAAACCTACCCTCTTCCAAATTTCCCTTATTCTGTCAAGAATACCAACAACCATCTTGTCATCCAAATACATCACTGGGATATCATTCAAGTCACTCACCTCAAATGTCAAATCTTGTTTCTACCTTTGAACAGATCTCTTACATTCAACAACTTCTCTCTATTTCACACAGCCACCAACTAAATTCAGACCCTCAATTTCTATTGCCTAGATCCCCAATTGATCTCCTTGCCTCATGCCTCTCTCTACATCAAACAATCCTCCAAATTCTCCCTTATTCAGCAAATTCCACTGACTCCCTTATTATCCCTAAGATCAAATACAAACCCTTCTAGATGTCATTTAAAGTCCTTTAAAACCTGACCCAGCCTTATTAAATCATTCCTCTTCACATAATCTACAATCCAACAAACTGTCCTTCTGTTTCTTATGCACAGAACTCCATTTCCCATCTCTTTGCTTTGGCACTTGCTATCCCTATGCCTAAAATGCTCTTCCCCCTTGTCTTCTCACTTGTGCCTCTTAGAATCCAGTTCTCTTCAGTACAAAGCTGAAGAGACACCATCAACATAAAGTCTTTCCACATCTCCCAAAGCACTAGTGCTCTGACTCCAAAATTACCTTATATCTATTTGGTATATATCTATATAAATGCATGTTATCTACCTAGCTTGACTGTGAGCTTCTTGAGAGTAGGGACTACTTCCTTTTTGTTGTTGTATTGACAGAATCAGGCAACAAGAAGACAGCGAATAAAATGTTACTTGATTACAATAAATGGGAGTACCCAAGGAGCAGGCAGATGAAATGAAAGCTTGAAAAGACACATAACAAAAGATGGAAGGCACAAAACCAAAGACAAATCCGAAAGAGCAGCATAAACTTTTGAGAATGAAGGAAAAGTTAAATTCCAGAATTAACTGAAACTTCACCAGAAAAATATCAAAGGAAAAAACAAAGTGTGGAGAATGGAAACAAATGGGCAATAAGTATTTATTAAGCCCTTACTACATGCAGAGTATTGTGCTTAGGAGCAGATACATGCACAAAACATTCAACTTGGAATTAGGAGTTCTAGTTCTGCCATTAACTAGGCTTATTACCTTAATCCAGTTATTTACCTGTCTGGGCTTCAATCTCCTCACCTATAAAATGAGGAGGTGGTAATCAAATGACCTTTCAGCTCATCTACACTGCTAAATCCTAGTATCCTATGATAAAACTAGAGTATAGATTTTTTTTTTTGAAAAAATAGTTTGTGAGAACTCCAAAGAGAAGAGAGTGATGATCAGGAGCCGGAATGGGTTCACTAAGTGAGGATAAAACCGATATGCACCTCATTTACATTTCTGTTAGTGTTCCTAGACTGATAGATACCAGTACAATACAGCAGATATATTAGCTTTAATATATTCAAGGTATTTGAAAAAAAAAGGCTCAAAAGATCCTTGTAAGCACCATGGACAAATAAATATTAAACAAATAAGTATTCGACATTAGTATAATGAAAATGATTCATAACTGGCTGCTCAACCAAATCCAAGGAGTATTGATTAATTGGCTGATATCACAGAGAACTCAACAGTAAATTACAAGACTCTTGTACTTGGCCCATTCGAGTTTGACACTGTTATCCAAGTCTCTGAAGAATACAGGAAAAGCATGCAATTCAAATTGACAGGTAAAATAAAGTTGAAAGTAATAGTAAATACTGTTTAAAACGAACTCAGAACTTTTAAAGATTCTGACAAGGTGGGATGGGCTGAAACTTAACCTGGCATAACTTATTAGAGATAAAGTCCTATATTTAGATTTTTTAAAAATCTCCTGGAAACATATATGATGGGAAGGAGTACCTCCAAAATTCTCCATTTATTTTTTTTAAAAAACTCATAAATAAGGAACATTTAGTGACTTCAACATAACCTTAAGCCAACATTATACAATGGTTTGAAACCACATCATAAGAAGTGTAGAAGGAAGAATCATGAAGGGTCTGAAAATTATGTCAATAAAAGAAGATTTAAGAGATTGTCAAGGATTAACCTGGAAAGGAGAAGATTTGAAGGAATATGATGAGTTATCATTAAGTATTTGAAAGGTTATCATGAAGAAAAGGAAATAGATTTAATCAATCTACTGAGGGGGAAAATAGGTGCAAAAGAAAAAAAGTTATAGGAGGGAGACCTTAGTTTACTATATGGAAGAAATTCCAATGATTGAAAATATTTGACAAATAAATGTGACTCTCTTATGAGTTCTCAAAATTTGAATTATTAAAAAAATAGACTGGATGACAACCTGTCAAAATTTCTTCAATGGGTTGCCTAGGTGATCTTTCCAAACAAGATTCTATGAATTAAAGAACTGATCAGTGAAAAAATAGGATAAATTTCTACATGGATAAATTCACAGTAAGATAACTAAGAAAGGAAAAGATCTTCATAAATTCTGTTTAATCCTCATTAAAAAAAAATACTCAATTAAAATAAATAAGTAAAACTGGTGGGGGGGTAGGGAATAACAGCAATATATAGATTTATTCCTGGAAGAAAAGAAGTTTCTAATCCTTCAAAATGTCTTTTGACTTCAAAGACCTTGCAAGATCAGAGAAAAAACTATTATTTGACTGGGGAAGGAAGAGCAAGAGTAAATCAAGATGAGAGATTGGGTCTTTGCCATGAAATAAAAAGTTGTAATCCTAAACAAGCTGAAAGCATTTTATGTTGTTTGAATATTTTGACTCATTTTTTAATTGGCATCTGTAAAGTTGGACCCTGCTGGACTAAGAACTCAAATAACCCTAGCACATGGCTAGAGTAGGTGGAAAAAAAAAAGCCCTGATATTATCAAAGTGCAGAACTCCCAAAGTGAGCACCTGACTGATTCATGTAGATCATACCACTCTACTTAAAAGCTCAATGGTAAAAGGAAATTCAATACCTGAAAATGAGCATCACTTCAGACAATAAACACTAGCCTTTTTGGCAGTTCATGCAAGGAAGCTGCTTTAAAACAAGAAGCCAGATTGAATGGAGACGACGTAGGACAGTGAAAATCATACTGGGCTGGGAATCAAGAGACTTGGGTTTGAGGCTTGCATCTTTCTTTATGCAACTTTATATAAATTACTCAGTCTCTAACTACATCATTTCTATTACTGCATCTCTAAAATGTCCTCCCTCACCACAGAGGAAAAGTGGGAAACCCTGTAACATGCTAAAACTGAGTTTTTGGGGGGAAAAAAAACAACAGGTCAAAACAACCAAAATATTGTTGAATATTTTATTGAACTCATTTGAAAATGCTGGGAAGTTGAACAATTCCCTCTGAGTAAACTGATGCTAAATGATAGGAGGTTGTAGTGGTAATAGTGATGGTAGTTGGTGGCATAATAACCACAGTATCAGCAGATGACATTTATATCCTGCCTTAAGATTTTCAAAGCATTTCACATTTATTATTTCATTTTAGCCTTACTACTGGGCTACAGGTATTATTATCCCATTTGGCAAATAAGTAGATTAAAGTTCAAAGAAGTAACTTATCCTCAAACAAACAGCATTAAACTGAAATTGCCCTAGATCACATAGCTAGAAATTATCTACTAGGTATGAGACATAGTCTTCCTGACATCAGATGCAGTCCTCTATTTAAAAATACACAGTTTTGCTGCATTCCTTTCCAAATAGAGGTCATGAACCAATAGTAATTTTAGAGAAAAATCAACCAGAAAAGTATTTATTAATAGCCTACTATGCATTTGTGTTGGGCAGTAGGGATAGACATACAAAGAATGAAACAATCCCTATTCACAATGAGTTTATAATCTAATGGATGAGACAAGTGCGTATAGAAATACAGAGCATAATTTTCAAGTTAGTAATACAAATATGCAAATTAATTGACTTTAATATAGTTTGGGAGAGATCATTGCCAATTGTGGGGGGGGCGGATCAGAAATGGCTTCCAAGAAAGAAAGATTCAGCTAAAGCTGAATCTTAAAGAGGGGGACTCTAGGAGATTAAAAAAGTGTGGTGATCTTCCAAGGAAGGAGATGGAAGGTGGAGTGTCATGAGAAATACATAGAAAAGGCCAGTTTGGTTGGGTAGCAGAGGACAGGAGTCCTGAAAGGTAGACTGGGACAAGACTGTATAGGGCTTTAAAAGTTGACAAGAGAAGTTTGTATTTTACCCTAGAGGTTAATAGGAAGCCAGTGGAATGAGTTGAGTAGAAAAGTCACAAGGGCAGAATTGCACTTAAAGAAAATTACTTTAGCAGCAGTGTGAAGAATGCACTGGAGTGGTGAGACTTGAGGCAAGGAGACCAATTGAGAGACTACTGCAATAATCAAAAGGAATGATTATGAGAGTTTGAACTAAGGTGGTAGCTGTGTGAGCAGAGATCTGGGTAGCTGGCATTCCAGTACTAAAAAAAAAAAACAACAACAACAACAAAAAAACAAAAACAAAAAAAAACAAAAAAAAAACCCAAGTATTACAATAACAGAATATACTATGTTAAAAGCAAAAAAGTCTATATCATTTTTTATGGCACTTTGTTTTGTTTTGTTTTTAATTCTATTATTTTGGGGGGAAAACTAGGACACCAAGAAAGAAGTTGAAGATTGAAGACCCAGTATGGTAGTATAGAAAGATATTCATCTAGGAGTCTTAGTAAATAGCTCTGACACTTACAAGGTATGTGGATAATATTTTAATAATAATGAGGATGATGATGGTGATGATGATAATGGTTACACTGTTACAGCGCCTACAAGATGCCAGCCACCGTGCTAAAGGCTTTATAATTATTAACTCATTTGATCTTTAAAATAACTCTGGTAGGTAGAGGCTATTATTTTCCCTATTTTACATTTGAGGAAACTGAGAAAGAGGTTAAATGATTTGTTCAGGGTCATATGACTAAGTAAATGCCTGAGGCTGAATTTGAATTCAGGTCTTCCTGAAGAGCTGTATCCACTGTGCCACCTAGCTGTCTTGAATGGAGAAAACATTGTAATTTGACAACTCCAAGACTCAATATTCTCATATATATAACGAGGAGGATTGGACTACACTGACCTTTAAAGCGCCTTCCAGATCTATGAATTCTCACACACTTACTTGCACAGTAAATTCTCCTTCTTCACATTCTTTTTTATATCTCCTCGGAAGAGTTTCGACTTCCCGAATGTCTTCCATGGTGACTTGCTGAGGAAGCACCTCAAACAAAGATGTTAAATACATAATTATGGATTTCTTGTCAGGAAGCTGAACAGCAACATCTATAAATCGAAGGAAATAAGAAATACCTTAGACTTCTCATGTGAAATGTGTGAATGGAACATATTGGAGTAATCACTCAAAGTTAGAAATAGTAATCCACCAGCTTGCACATGAATTGTACCTAGCCAATAACCCATGAAGTTAATAAATTACTTCTTTGAAATAACAGAATTCACTAAATTTCCCTTCTGTGGGATATACGAGAAATAAAAAATATGTAATTTTATTTATTTCCCACCAAGAAAATTATGCAAAAATATTCCTAATTCATGTGTGCAGATGTGGTCACATTCACAGTAGCCACATTAGCTGTTGAATGTTGGCTCTTTTAGCAAAACTTTTGGCAGTAGTAAACAAAATTAAATAACTTTTTGTCACTAAATATCATATAGTCAGAAAAGTAGTGAATTATGGAATTTCAAAAAAATTATACTTTTAAATTTCATATTCTATGTTATTTATACATGGTACATTTTATACACACATACACACCTACTCACACACACACACACACACACACACACACACACACCCCTCACCTCAATGTTGTAATTGCAAAGAAACAGAGAGTGAATAACATCTTCATTTACGATAAAGAAGTTGAAAAAATATCAACCCTAAAGCATTTTGTTTGAAATCTGTGTGTAATTTCAGTAAATGGCAGGAATAGTTGAAAAATACTTTAGGTAAAAAATCTCTATGGAAACACATGGAGTTACATATTAAATTAAACAAATGTAACTCACCTATCCAAATTATATGAAGACAGCTGTTTAATCATCATATTTTCCCAAAGGTTAAGGTTATTCCCCAGGAGGAGAATAATTACAAATAAGAAAAAAATGGCACAATACTATAATGGATACTTCAACCTTTTTTAACAGTCCTTATATTAGCTAAGAAGAAATATTTTAGAGCACTCCTTTTCAAATTTAAGGGCCCATGAGTATGTTACTGCTAAACTGAAGTTAAAAATTTTAATATACTCAAAAATATGATGCCTCTCAAAGGAATGGCAATTGTGCCCAATTTTCCAAATTGTAAAATGCCTTAAAATGTTTAAACATTAGAAATAAAAATCTTACACAGTACCTTCAGGATCTAACAGCTTTTCAATACCCAGATGTTTTTGAGCCTTGCTAAAAGCATGTTCCAGTCGCTCAACTGGGGACATTTTAGTAACTCTATCCCAGTTAAAGAGATCAGGTCTGAAAAAACAAGATAAACAAGGTCAACACAGAAGACAATGTAATTATTATTATAGTCTAGTATAAAGTTTGTTTGGGGTCTTGAAAATAAAAACAATAATAATTTGCTTTCTATATCACTATTGTCTATAATCAAAATATCATAAAACATATTATAAATCTTGAATGAGCTATGTGTATAACCAATATTTAAACATAATTCTCAAAAAGAAATATATCAGAAAAACTAATTCACTCAACAGTTACTGAGCATCCAGGCCCTAAGGGAAAAAAACTCTGATTATATCCCTACTGAGTGAATTGCCATTTTCCTTAGCTGCCCAATTATTTCTCTTAATGGGATAATTTTCTGCAATAATCAACTGTTCCTCCTTCTAACTTCTGTTTACTATACCACTATTTTCCTTTATACCATGTTCAAAACATTAGTGTCAACTTTGACTCTTCTACATCATTTCTCACATCCAATCAGTGGCCAAGCTCTATGGAATTGACTTTCATAATTTTCTTCATGGCTATCTATCCCTTCCTCTCCATTACCACTACCGTGGTATTCATACTGAATTCTAAAACCATTTATTTGGACTATTACAATAACATATTAACATGTCTTCCCAGCTCCAGTCTCCACCTCCAATTAATGCATCATACAGTGGTCATACTAAATTTCTTCCTTCATCAATCTAGTCATGTCATTCTTGAGATCAGTTCTCTTTGTTGGCCTTACTGTCTACTATATAAAATTCATTTATCTTTGCCTGACATTCAAGACTATCCACAACTTACCACTATTATATCTTCCCATCTCTATCTCTAGCTAACCATAACCCATAAAGGGTATCATACTTTCTCATGTCCATTCTTTTGATGTACTGTACCCTATGCCTGGAATAGTCTTCCTTTTACAAAACACTCCCCACTTGCTCAATGACTATTCATATTTTAAAGACCAACTCAAAATATCACCCTCCTCCAAAAAAAAAAACAAAAAAAAAACAACCTCTTCGAGTTGTTAATGGACAATGACTATTCCCTTACTGGAGCAAACAATGCGCTTTGCTTTTATGTTTCTTATGCATTTAATTTCTTGTTATGGTTATCTGTGAAAATAACATATTATATCTCCTTTCTAATCTATAACTTTTATTGTGGGGCTATGTCTTTTCTGAATTTTTATCTCACCCAGCACCTACCAGAGCATACTATACAGAGAGGTGAAGTGATTTTGCTTGTACACCTTTTTGTTCTACCTACAAGTACATGTTCTAAACCTATCTTGAAGTTTCTTCATAAGAAGCATTTGCAAATATGTACATGTATAGCTATATATGTGTACACACACACACATATGTATATGTGTGTATATACATGCACTGAAGAAACAACAGCACAAAAGAATGGCAAGAACAGGTTAGGAGGAGGAAGAGGAAAGAAAAGAAACCGTAATTTCTGGAATTGAAATAAAGGCACTGGGAATGAGAAAATCTGGAAATCACTGTGTACATTATTTTTGATGCCAATATGAAACAGAATAACTTCTTAGCTACCACTGATTTTTACTTCTGTCCCATAAATGAAACAGGGATAATTAATCTTGTAATGAATCTTAAATCTAAATAGACACTTATGTGGGTCTTAAATGTTAGATCAAAGTGCTAACTATAAAGTTGTGATACAGTTATGCTTTATTTTTATTTTTCAGTTCTTACCAAGAAGCCTTCCTATCAACAACAAAGTCCACATCAGATCTCGTTAAGGGAAACATCAAATATTTTACCACCATTTTTTCCTACATTTTTGCCTTCCTTATGATCATTAATATCACAAGATAACTGAAGCCCATTCTGCCTTAAAACTGTATTTTCATTACTTACTATAAGACTACAATAGGTTACTTAGGAAAAAGATTAAAATCAGGGTTCTTTCTAGATATGCAATTAAATCTGCTGTAGCTAAGTACATGACATGTGATAGAAACAGACAAAATAGTTCAAAGTTATAATATTTGTACAACAACAATAAAAGTCTACTTTCCTTATATACTCTGTATAAACTCTTTTTCCCTCTAATGAATGTAAGGCATATTTGAAGGGTATGTGTATATGTGTGTTGGTGTATACATATACGCACAAACAATGGTTCATTTTTACTGTTACTACAGAAGTATCACAACCTTGAAACCACTGATTATTTCTATTAGTCTAAAACACTAAAAATTTGCTGACTTTAAAAAAAACTTAAATATACACTAAAAACTACTTTGTATTTTAGGAGGAAATGGATACTTAGACGATGTTATATAATTGAAAACAAATGTCTAAGCCTAAATGCTACTTGATTATCTATGAAGAAAAAGAAAAATTTCTTCAAGGACACTGAAATCCTTTTATTCCCCTCAAATGGTTTTAAAAAAAAAAACTTTTGGCAATAAGAGTACTTGAAACTAACAAGAACTATTGTTTACACATAAGACTGGCTGATGTTTAAAGAGTGGGATTAAAGCATGCCAAGCATTTCAACTTTTTTTGTTTAAATTAGAAAGTAGGTGGAAGAAATCATGGAAGCTATATTGTGGCCTTGGCATTTTCTCATGCAAGAAAAATCCCCATTAGTAGTTTTCTTAATCACAATTATTTGGCAAAGTGGGAAAACTGAGAGCAGGGGGCTATAATTACCCAAGAAAACTATATGCTTTCATATAGATTTGGCCTATAAGATCTCTTAAGTCCCCCTCCAGTTCTTAATCTATGACCTTATGTTTTTATGATCTAAAACTGGGTAAAATTTCTTACTTGTGTCGATGGAGAACGGCATTAAAGGCCAACCCATCAGCCCAACTTGTGGTGAAATTGAGAACGTTGACCTGACTGTAAGGCCTGGTTGACTGCCGAACCCAGCTCAGAAGAATCTTCTCACTGTTTGTCTGCTGTAGGTCTGACATGATATCTTTCATGACATCTTTTACCTATTTAATTAGAAAAGCACAGTTGCCTGGTCATTTTGAAAAATTCCTTGAATAAAACATGCTACATTCATAAACAAATACCATCCAACTCATATGTATCATATAGCAACATGTTTTGTTTTGTTTTTTTTTAAACCACAGGTATAACAAAGTAGTCATTTTAAAAAAAAACATAATAGTTGGTTTTCAGTAAGAAGGAGGGGGGAAATAGAGGGGAGGGAAGGCTGCAGAAAGGGATGGAGAAAGAAAAGGAGGAAAGAAAGAAGAAAGAAAAAAGAAAGGAGGGAGGGGAACTATTCCCTGAATTAAACAAAAAAATCTGAGGTCAAAGAATAAAACCTATGTATGCAAAAGCAAAACAAATTAAAATATAAAATAGAAGTTCTTAACTGGGGTCCAAAAACTTATTTTTCAAATATTTTTCTTTTGAGAAAAATAAACTTTATTTAATATTAATAGCATTTCAATGTGATTGGTTTCCTTTTTAATATTACATATTCTATTTTATACATTTTAGAATATTTTTTGTAAGGTGTCCTTAGGCTTCACCAAATTACTGCAGAGGTCCAAAACACAAAAAAGGTTAAGAACTTCTAATCTAAAATATGACAAACTTTCTTCTATTATTCAAAAGTTAGATGCTTTTTAAAAATAGGGAAGGAAAAAAGAAAACATAGGCTTGGAGGTCTTTTATATTCCTAAAAATAACTATTTTTAGGGAGGGAAATGGACCAAAATTTCTCCACCTGCCAGTGCAAGATGATACTCCACAGTAAGCCCAGTGTCAATTTGTGATTTCCATCCACAATATCAGTTCCTCCTATGTTTACTAGTTCTACCTGTGAAAAAAAATAAATGGCCTTAAGTCAATTATGTCAATAAAATATTTTACTTTCTTGAGTATTTCTCTCTTTTTTAAATATCTTATTGATTTTTTTAAAACAAAGGTGGCACTTCTCAACAATTTCATCCATTCCTCCTCACACTCAACAAAACACCCTCTTGTAACAAAGATGCACATTTAAACAAAATAATCAACACATCAGACATGCCTTGACTTTTTCACGAACAAAGATCCAATGGTTTGAGTAATATGAGAAAAAACTATAAGTCAATAATGCTATTATTGAAACATATTTAATACTAGAGCCTCCACTAAGATACTATGGGATACTTAACTTCAATGCATAGTTGACTCCTAGTTCTCAGACTCTATCAGCTCAGGATATATCCTTCCTTCTTTCCCAAGTTGTAAAGACTAAAAATATAGCCCAGTGGTAGACTTCGTGCCTCTCATCTAAAGACTAATCTAGGGAAAAAAAATCTAAAAAGCCTCATCACTAGAGAGTTAACCACCAGATGTTGAAGTTTTATGGCTAAAGAAATTCATTAAACTGTTTATGAAAGGCCCAGAGCAGTTGCATCTGCATCCATGGCAGCAGTGCCCACCGAGAGGAATTATCACTATTTTCACTACTGTTACATTCAAATGATATATCTTTTGAAATATTTCAGCAACAATAGAGCAACTTTCTACTTACTTATTAAAGCAAATGACTATATAAGGAGTCATACAAAATGAGCTTAATTTTTCTCATAACTTACAGACAGACACAGGATAATGTGCTTTTTTTAAAATAAAACAAAACATGATAATTATACTTGCAGAGGTACAGCAAATTTTTGATTTCACAAAACTAAAGGATGTTTTCTTACATGTCAGTGGGCATGAAGAGTCCTAAACGCCCACAAGTCTTGGCTAGCACAACAGTTATTTAAGAATAATGGTGATTCATTGCATATGCTATTACATAAAAAAGTCAACAATATTGTCTAAGAGCGATGAAGGTCTTATAAGAATTCAACAAGAAATGTTATATTTATTCCCTTTTATAATCCCCCAAATTACTTAATAATCACCTTCATTTTCCTGGACATTCTCATTTGAATTTTTAAAATGTATACATATATACATACATACATATGCATGTGCATATTTTTAAAGTGCATACACATGCTCATATATACACATATAAAGTATCTCCTAGGGAGCTGCATTAACAAATGTTACTAGTTTGTGTATATTTATTTAAATGTTGATAGTGTATATCAGATATATTTCTTTTAAAATATACTTTTAAAACATTTTTAGTACATTGTCTTTATGTGATATATGAGATAAAGGATAGGTTTATCTTACCAAACTTATAAAATACAATAGATTATAATAAAGATCACAACTCCTGTAATGTAGAACCTCTGATACACCATCTATACATTTAACATATAGAACAGGCCTGCACAACCTGCAGTCCATGGGAGCTTATAGCTTGAGGGCCACTTGCAGCAAGCCAAAGGATTTCCTCTACATTTCCTTCTACATTTTTCTACATCTACATCCTTCTACATTCCTCTGCATTTCCTTCTACATTTTTCATGGGTCGCCTGAAATTCTTTGACATGAAGCAAGCCACCTGAGAGTCATAAGAAACCCGTGGGACACAGGTTGTGCAGGTCTGAGATAGAACAAGTCACATACAAAGGGAATAATTGCAAAGTACTATTCCATACTTACATTGTTCTGATGTAAAACCTGTAGAACTCTGTTGACATTATTTAAAGCATGTACCCTTGTGGAACCACGTTCCTTAGGCTAGAAAATAAAAACAGAAACAAAAATTATGGTTGGTTTTCTTCTCATATAAGGAATAAAAAAAGAAAGAAATACAATTTTAGAAAGACACTTCTATTACAGTAATTTGTTAGGTATTAATCTAAATAAATAGGTCATTATTCAGTGCACATACTTAAACTATAATAGTATTCAATAAATCCTTTGGGAAGAAAGTTCCTTTTTAGCAAAGGTGGACCTGCAAACAATGTGAATAGGAGAAAATTCTTGTCTTCTCAGGGATAAGTACCTGGGAATAGTGTTTGAGAAGGAAACAAAATAAAGAGAAGGATCAGGACCAAACTAGGAATCCTTGTGCCTAAGGCAAGCAGGACAACCAGCACCCAGGACAGGAAATGAGCTCTCAGTTAAAATGGAGGACAAGGGAAAGAGAACATTGGCCTACTGGAAAGGGAACAGAGGCTGTGAGACTCTTAAAAAGTCCACATCTGAGGTGCCTACTATGAGGGGGAGCAGGGGAGAAGCTCACTCCAGTTGCCATCTGATATCAAAATAATTAAAGTAATTACTTGCTACATAATAAATACAATCATTAATGATAAATAATTAAAATAAAATTTTAAATCCTAACAATTACAATAATCAAAAAATGAAATGAAGTTTCCCAGGAAGTATGGAGTTCCCCTTATTGAAAGTGTCAATCTAAAGGCTAATTGACACCTTGTCAGGAATGTTGTATATAGGATCCTTTTTCTGGAATTGCTTAGACTAGATGACTTCTAAAATCTCTTCTTACTCCAAAATTGTGTGAACTAAATGCTGAATGTTGTTGTTTCTTTGCTGCTGAAGGGATGCAAGACTTACCAGGTCTTTCCCTCCCTCCCCCACCTCCATCCCCTACACACACACACACACACACACACACACTCGGCTTAAATTCAAGAACCTTTAAATTCAGCACACTGGGTTAAAGACCCAAATGCCCTGTACTCTTTCTGGCTCTAAAAAGGACACAGTGACACTGATTCATGTAGAAAGGCCTCTTGACAGAAAGCCAGGATCCGTGACCAAGTCTGGCTGCCAATACAACCACAATCTTAGGATCTAAATACTAAAAAAAGTTCTAAATGGTGAAGTTAACAAAAGGCTAGCTACATAGTTCTGTGTAGGCTCTGACTTGGGGGGTGAGGGGGACCCTTCCTTATGGAGAGAAGTTTCTTCTCCGTTCCCCATGCTTCAACAAGGAACCAAGAGTCACGGACCATGTGGCCGAGGAAGAGAGACGGAAGAAAGGAAGCAGGGAAGACAGCGTGAAGACACAGGCAAAAGGAATCCACATCATGGAATTCTAACGATGCATACTACATTTTTACCTAACCTTATAACAAAATTTTATACAATCAAGTGTGCCTGTGGAACATAATCCCATTACTTATAAGAAGTAGTATCGTGTAAGTATATAATGACTGACATAAAGGAAGTTTATTAATATTTTAATAAAACATTAATTTTATAACTCTCAGGAAAAAAATAAGTATTTTGAAATAGACACAGATGGTTAGTTGTAGAATTGTGTACATATTTTTAAAGTGTATTAAAATATGCCCACATATATCATTCTACCTATACTGAAACCATTCTATTTCATCTATCCTCTGTAATTCTAAACCTTAACTGTTTTCGTGACCTTATTTAAGTCTTAGGTCCCTCCCTAAACAGTTACAGTACCATGATTACTTTCTTTCTCTATATAGGGATAATACACTATTAATATCTTGACAATCATTTATCAATGGCAAAAGTGAAATTCTCAATATAACAGAAGGAATGCTGTTCTATAAAATAATTTGGGAAAAAAATCACTAAAAATACACTTACATTTATGTCTAAAATAATATGGCAATTACCTATACTCACTCCCCTCATATGAATAGTGCTTGAAACAATTCATTGCTTTATTCTTAAAGTGCAAGTTTTCTTACCAGTGAAGTTCCTGTGAGTCCCTCTAGAAGATCCAAAAGCTTCCTTCCATCTTTGAGATCTGTAAACATTTCCTTGATTGGTGGTTTTCCACTCTATAAAATATAAAAATAAAATAAGAGTTTACATAGAAGCTGACAATTCCTAATACAACTAGCAAATGAACTTAGCTATATGTATGTATATACATACATTGTGTACTATACACAATGTATGTATATGTATATATGCATGTTCATGAGTATAGCTATATTTGTAAGTCTACGTTATATATATATTCATGTGCGTGTGTATATATGTATATTTATGTATGCATGTGTATATATTATATGTACATATTCATCCATTACAAAAATATGTCTACTATTAAAATGATCATTAAAAGTCCTACTAGTCATGTAATCTATGACATGAGCCATAATATCCTAGAGCAGGAGTGAAGAACCTGTGACCTTGAGGCCACACGTGGTCTAAATTTATAGTTATAAAAAAATAGATTCTTCAGGCTTGGATTCCCAATATCTTTCTCTTTCTCTGGTACTGCTTTCCATCTTTTATTCCCATATATAACAACAGTCTGTCTGTCTGTCTGTCTGTCTCTCTCTCTCTTTCTCTCCCATGCTCATTTCTTCATACATACCTTTGTTCAAGCCATGTTCTCTCCCTGCCTTTCTTCTTCAGGAATGTCTTCCCTACTCTCCTCCAACTAAACAAACTCTATTCCATCTTCTAAGGATTTGCTCAAATGTCAACTCTTCTCCCTTCTTGATTACTCCCTACTTGACCACAAATATCAACGTTTCCTTTTTCCCAGTTACTATATCATTTAAAAATTCTGAGAGTCAGAAATAGAGCCTGGAAAGCAATGAATGTATGACGAGCCTGAGCATTTGTCTTGAAATAGAGGTTCTAGGAAAAAAGAGTGAAATAAGAGTAAGGGGCTGAAGGGGCTGAGAGTGCCATACTTCTAGTCAAGGAGTGAACTTCTAGGGTAAGGAGGTTTCTGTGGTATAGTAATAATAATAATAACCTAACAACAACTAACATTTATATAGTACTTACTACATGTCAGGCATTATGCTAAGTGTTCTATAATTATTATCTCATTTGATCCTCATAACAACCTTGGGAAGTAGATGCTATTACAATCCTCATTTTCCCCCACAGGTGAGAAAGCTGAGACAAACAGAGGTTAAGTTACTTACCCAGGGTAACATGACTAGTAAATATCTTGAGGCTGGATTTAATGATAGCTAACATATACATAGCACTTACTATGTGCCATGAACTGTGCCAACCATTTTACATTTATTATCTAAGGATCCTCACAGCAGCCCTGGGAGATAAGTGTTATTACAATCCCCATTTCACAGATGAGGAAACTGAGGCAAACAGTGATTAAGTAACTTGCCCAGGATCACAGTTAATAAGTGTGTGAGGCTAGATTTGAACCCGGGTCTTCCAGACCTGATACTCTATCCACTGGACCCACCAACTTGCCCCTCAGAAATTCTAAATAAAATGTTTAACAGAGAAAATCTTGATAAAATTGGGGTAAAAAATATTACCTACTTCACAGGGTGGTTGTGAGGATCAGATGATAGAACATATGTAAAGTGTTTTTGCAAAGTTCTATAGAAATGCTATTTTTGTTATTGTTGATGTTATACTGGCAGGGACAACTGTAGGTGCTTAATAAATGCTTGTTGTTAACCTCTCTCAATGCCTTCAGGTAACTTTATAAGACAATATCTTTCCGAGATTCAAGGCAGTCAGTTGCAGGTCTGCACAAGTAAGAAGAGTTTCTTCACTTGGAGCTGGAAAGTTCCCAAGATAAATGGAGACCCTTCAAATTTTCCTCCTTCACCCCTCATCTCCCTCCACCAAAAAAAAAAAATACTAGCACCTAACAGTACCAGCACATAGCACTCATGTAATATATGCTCACTGAAATAAAACTTTAGGATGGGAGTAATTATTCCTCAAAAAGCTTAATAGGACAAATTCCATGTGTAGATCAATTTAATAATAAACCCAGCATGTGAAAGCAAATATAATCTATTTAGTCAAGCACATGTCTACTATTTTCACAACATAAGCTCAATGCATGGTAATTTGATCTGGGAAAAAGTTCAGAAATGTCAGAAGTCATCTTCTAACAAAACTAAAAGATAGTATATCTTGCCAGTGTGCAGCTCAGTTTAGACTTTTTCTTTAAAAAAATCTTACGTAATGACTTTTTAAAAAAATATGAGGAACATAATTTTCAATTCAACTAATATTTAATGAGCTTTCCTATGTGCTTGGCACTATGGATAATAAAAGAGAGTTTGCCCTCTCTACTCCTGGGGGAGAGGTTCTGGAGATGCCCACTAACACACAACCTCATAAAATTGTTAATCATGAATGAAAGCAGGTAAGACAGGGCCTTGTCCCAGTTTTATTCCACCAAACAAAATAATGTAAGACTTCAATGGGAAAACTACAGTTCTATAATGAATGAGATTTTTCTGCTCTCTGCCTTGTTCTCTCACTTCTCACGTTACATGCCTGCCTTTCAACCCAATATGAAACCTGCCCCCCAAAATCAATACCATGGTATTGGATTTTACGGCATAAAGGAACTGTAAAAACAAAGCTATTTGATTGTTTGTGGGGAGGAGCAAGGTTTCTAGTTTTGTAGGCATTTAATATAAACTCTCTTATCTGCCTATGGTGTAAAGGGACTTAACCAAATTATAACACCAAAATACCTGAAGAGCTATCCAACAATATTACTGACAATTAATAAAGAAATACTAGAGCAATAGGGTACAGTCGAAAGGAAGCTTAATAGGCCATTTCAGATCAAGATCCTAATTTTACAGATGAGGAAATTGAGACCCAGGGCCTTGAGTCATTTGCTTATGATCATACAAGTCCTAAGTGGCAGAGTCAGGTCTTCTGGCTCCAAGTTTAATGCTCTGCACACTGTAGCACACTACCTTCCTAGCCATTAAAAACAAGGTAAATGCAGTGATTCTGTCTAGAAAAGCAGAAAGGATGGCACAATACTGATTAACAAGAATGTAGCATCAATCCTGGGACACAAAATATCAATTTATAACCACCTAGAAAAGGACAAAATACCAGAAAGTAATAAATGAGGGTTACCTGGTGAAAAGTAAATCATGCCAATCAAATTAACTCCTTTATGCCTCAAAGGGACTAGCTAATGAGACAAGGAGATATGGCAGAGGTCCAAAATCCCCATAAGCTTTTCATTTCATCCCACATACTGCTGCTCAAAGACTCCAGTTAGCCCAATGGTTTCCATTTTTATTCCTTGAAATCTCGGGTTCCAGTGGTATCTCTAAGGATCACAAAAAACATGTCTAATTTTTGCCTGCCCTAACCTAGCATCAGAAGCTAGGACTCTAGAGAATGCAAAAACAATACAAATAAGGGTTACATATTCCCAGAAAGTTAAAAATTCAACCATTAAAATGGCAAATGACTACTTGATTTGCAAGTCACTCCAAAGGATATTTATTAGTGGCTCAACATCAATTTGAACATACTAAGAAAGGTGGTGGTGGTGGTGGTAGTAGTGGTGGTGGTAGTAGTAGTAGTAGTAGTAGTAGTAGTAGTAGTAGTAGTAGTAAATACCAGCTACCATTTATATAGTACTTAGTACGTGCCACACCTGAGCAGCAAGGTGGCATAATGAATAGAGTGCTGGGCGTGGAGACAGGAAGACTCATTTTCTAGAGTTCAACCCCACCTCAAACAAATCCTAGCTGTGTGACCCTGGACAAGTCACCTCAACTCAGAATGCTTCAGTGTCCTCATCTGTAAAATGAGCTGGAGAAGGAAATGGCAAACCACTCTAGTTTCCTTGCCAATAAAACCCCAAATGGGGTCATGAAGAGTCAGACAATACTGAAAACAACTGAACAACAAAAATGTGCCAAGTGCTTTGCAATTATTATCTCATTTAATCCTCACAACAACCCTGAGAGTTAAGTGCTATTATTATCTTCATTTAACAGACGTGGAAGCTGAGGCAAATCGAGGTTAAGTGACTTGCCTAGGATTACACAGCCAGTGTCTGAGGCCGGATTTGAACTCAGGTTTTCCTGACTCCAGCTCTATGTCCTGCTCTACCAAACTGCTTAGCTACCTAGAATGGTATCAATCAATCAATCAATAAATCTTAACTAGCCATTTCCTGTGTGAAATGTATATTGTCTTAAATATCATTTAATACTTTGGGCAATAGGAGAGACTAGCATCTCTCAGTTTGCTCATCTATAAAATGAAGATTATAATACTTTTAGAACCTATGCCACAGAGTAGTTCTGAGAAAAGCACTTGACCTTAAAATATTATATAAATGGTGAGATTGGGGCGGGGGTGTATTTATTATCATTACCATTATTATCATCTTCATTTGGGAGTGACCACTAGGTATATGAAATTCAGTTGTGACAAGTATAATTTAAAAGGAAGGGAGGGAAAAACCAAAGACCATGAATACAGAACAGGAGAAAATGGCTGGTACCAATACAGCACAAAGCTTACCTATGTTCTGAAGGGCAGAACACAAACTGAATTAAGGTCAGCAATAAAGCTCATCTGGGAACCATGAGTGCTAATATATCCTGAATTGAAAACTCTGACAACCTTTGAAACTGAGAGCATTCAGGGAAGGAATCACAACACCACAGAATCTCAGAAGTGGAAGGGACCTCGGAAAATATCTAGACAATGAACAAGCATGTATTAAACACTTACTCTTTATGGGGCAGGTATTGTGCTGAGGGTGGGGAGGGGCGCGGGGAAGACTCCTCCACCTTACTCTCTCCCAAACATAGACCCTGCTCTCGAGGAACTCACGACCTAATGAGGAAAAGAACGCACTAACCACTATGTAGATGTACACACAAGATCTACAAATGATAAACGGAAGATAATCACAGAGTGTAGGCCTTAGCATTAAGGGGGATAGGGAAGGCTTCTTGTAGAAGGTAGGATTTTAACAGACTTGAAGGGAGAAGAGGAAGTCAAGACTCAGAGATGAGGAGGGAAAGAATCCCAGGCACAAGGGACTGTC